ACAACAGCAATGAATAGTAGCAAGAGGAGTAGTAACGCCGCTTTGAGGAAACTGGATCACCAATGGCCGATTGGTGGTCCTTCCTGGATGCAAAACGTCTCAATCAAGGAACTTCCTCGAAAGTGGATGGAATAGAGGGTGTAGATCGTTGAAAGGGAATGTACTGGCACTGTAAAGTCTGGTAGAAGGAAGGTAGCAGTTGCAGTAGAAGAGACAGTAGAATCAGATGACGAAATGACAGAGAATGATGTTACAAGCTTACAGAACCCCCATTGCCAAACCGTGTCATTCTGGAAAGTGTTCCACTGTCACAGCTCATCGAGGCAAACTGCAACTGCTCTCGCTGTCACAGGAGTACGTTGAAGTTGAAGTTTGTGTCTGTTGGTGTGGCAACAACACCGGTACTGTCGTGTACCCACTGCGAGAAGGATTCCACAGTCAAACCAAAGACTGCACAACCCAAAAGAACAACAATGAGGAGTTCACATGCGCGTGGTGATGCCAATGTTGACTTTGAAGTCAATGTTAAATTTGTACTTGCCTTTGTGGGTAGTGGGATGGTGGAACTGAGGCGGCAAGGTTCCTTGGCTTTTTATATTGCCTGGAGCAAATTCCATGGAAAGGAGAACGTTCTCTCAGATAGAGCGGAGCATTTTCCTTATGTCGAATACATAGTGGATGGCTACCTGCATGATAATCTGATGGAAGAGATAAGACTGACATATGCGGAGACAGAGGTGAATCTGGACAGTTGGCGGGATAGCCTTGAGACTGGGGATGCACCGGTGGACGGAACCTCACTTCCATACATAGGAACTCCACGGACATGGGATGGAACAAAAGGTCCAGCGGTAGGACATACGACTCTCATTCAGGCCATGCCTGTCTGGTTGGAGAAAAGACAAGGAAGCCAGTAAGTCTTTCCACCAAATGCACCTTCTGTCGTATTTGTACAGTGAAACGGGAACTTACGGAGGAAATACCAGAACACGAGTGTGTTATCAACCATGACGATGGTGCCGGTGCAATGGAAGCTGCGTCATTGTTGAAGATGACTCAAGACCTGTACTTTGACAAGGCGGTTTGTATATCAAATGTGGTGACAGATGATGACAGTAAGATGAGAGCAAGGTGCAAGTGGAACAATGATGACTGGCTAAAACACAACGGCACGAACCTGGTGACAGAAGACAGTTGATCATCGGGACGCGTGTTGCTCCTCCATCTCAACAGAAGACTCCAGGTCAAGTCAAGATGATACCTGTCTACCGTAGCTCCGGTATGTTGAAGTATCCCGTTCCACAACCTCGTTTCCTGGCTGATCCGGCCCATCGCAAGAAGACATTGAAGAATCGCTTGTACAAGTTGAAGGCACGTTCTGTCAAAACGGCCAATGACATGCAGGAGGGTGACATCCTACGAGTTCGTTGTATTTCATCTTTTTCATCCGTGACATGGCAAGCATCCCAGAGAATGAGCGGGTTGTAAGAGCCCAGTGCATCTACAAACATCATTTTGACGTACACGATCAATGCGGTGAGTGGTGTAAACGGAAACTCGATACAACAGAGCAGCGATCCAAGTCGAAAAAAACTTACCGGAGCATGGAACATGACGGTCTCCTGTACTTGGACATCAAAGAGGTGGTAGAAGAATTCACCACCGCAGAAACTTGCTGAGTTGTTCACGACGGAGACACGCAGGTGAATGAATCGCTAAATCAACAGATCGCATGGTTGGCACCCAAGACCAAAACGTATTGTGGTAGCGTGTCACTGGTGATGCGGGTCCGCATTGCAATTGCAATCCATCTTGTGGGCAATCTTGTGTTGTGGCGTGACCTCTTTTTCAGCATTGGATTGGATGCCGACATGTTGACTGAGTATCGACTGCTGATGCGCGACAAAATGAGAACAGTAAGTTAGTCAACTCAAAAAAGACAGAGTATCGTGTCAAACGCAAAAAGACAATGCATGACAAGATACAGGAATACATGAAAAACTGAAGATCGACAAAGTCAACGGCATGGCTTACCAGTCCGGTTCGGCAATGGACGCAGACAACGGCACACCGTCATTGTCGGAGGTAATGTGTTCGAATGTCATCAACTTGGCCACAAGGATGCTCGGAGTGGTAATTGTCCAAATAATGCGAAGAATCGTCGTAAACGGAGTAAGGGCAATCCCACGAATGCTACCTCAGTGCGTGAAGAAGAGCATACCAATGTTCTTCCAAGGCATGAAGAAGATATTAGCGGGGACGGCGATGAGAATGATATTTCACTCATAGATAACATACCCTCACGAGCGATCCACACGTCGCAGAATTGTCGGAATCACTAGCAAACGACGGTTGAACATCGCCACACACATGTAGTTACAGCATTCTCTAGTCACTCGGAATCGTGGGTGTTCGCATGACAGAATCGTCGAATCTGAGTTGGCGAGATCGCGAAACTATTTTACTTGTCAAATCTACGTAGCTATTGGGTACGACGATGTACTAAAATAGTATAGAAAGTCTAGCGTTATCAATAGCTAACCTTCGTTGGTAGTGAAAACCAGTGTTCTTGTTCGACAAATACACAATCACAACGATTGAAGTTTCCTTTGCGGAACCCATCGTTCCGAGAAGTAGCTCCTAGGTTCCGAGTAGTCGCTGATTGGACCGTTGGCAGGTTGAGAGAGGAACAACGGTGGGCTGTTGGCAGGTTGAGAGAGGAACAACGGTGGGCTTGGCAACTGTTGGAGTTAGGAGCGAGTGGTTGATCTAGGAGCAACAGCCACTAATCTTCCCATAAATCCATCGTCTTTCTCTTGACACCTCCTTCCGTAGCCTTTGCACCGTAGCTCATGACACTTTTCTCCTCAACCACCTTCTTTGGATCAGCCGGCATGAACGTACTGTAACGAACACCTCTTGGATTTGGATACAATGAGCGAACGGCCTTTACGAAACAGGTTGGCAACTGCTTGCGGCCATTGATGAACTTGTACCCATTGACGGCGTAGTACCAGTAGAAGCACCATCTCTTGTGGTTTGGAGCCAAGTCATCGAACGAGTCACCATCCAATTCTCCGTTCAGCCTGCTGGAAACAGAGAGATACAAGTCGTTCACGTCCACATCCTCAAGAGGCAAGGTAAGAAGAATGCACTGCATGAATCCATACTCCGAACAGCACTGCAACTGTTGTGATGTCCCTCTTCTCCAATCGCGGGCTGTGTCACAATGAAGTAACTTCCACGTTTGTTTTCCTCTTCATCATACAGATCGAACGTATCGAGGAGATTTTCCCGCATGTCGCATCCACGAGACTTCATCAAGTCAAAGTCCATTTGCTCCTTCAATGCTGACGGCTGAGGTCATGCTGGATCCAATTTCCTTTGAAGTAAGGCCCTTTGTCAGGCGCCTTCATGAGACAGTGGATCGACTCATATGCATCAATCGAAGTACTCTTCTCTTCAAGTGGAACCACTGCTCCCAACCTGGACACTGCCCGAATGGCCTTGGCGTCAATCATCTTCTCAACTACCGGTGCGCGGTAGATATGCCCAGTGGCTGGATCAACAACGTCACGCATGACGATGGGAAGAAGATCAATGACCTTCTTGTTGGGTGGAAGCTTCCAGCGGAGGTCCTTGATGAGCATGTACATCTTGTACGTGTAGCTACGGTGGATGTCTGCGTGATGATGGCATAGTCATCCACCAAGACAGTCGATCCAACGTAGATGTTGTATGCAGCGAAATAGTGGGACAGGCCACTGTTAACCGTGGCCTTGAACATGGTACCACTTCCATCATCAACACAAGATTGTAAGACAACACAGTGCTGGACATGTCGTTGTCTTGTACTCACGAGACACTTTTTTGCCTCAACCACAGTAAAAGCAGGGCAGATTCGGTCTCTTCGATGGCCGGTGACTTCAACCCTTCTCCTTTCACCCAATACTTGCGTCAGGCTTCACTGTCACTCCGTCGCGAAAGCCACCACCCATTGGCAGGACCTTGGGAAGAGCAACAATACTCATCAAGCAAGCATCAGTAGCAAAATCAAGGCAGCCTTCATCATAGTACTCAACTCTGATAGCGCGGATCATGGTGAAAGGTTGTAAGTACACAACGGCGAAATGGCGCAAAACAGTGTCACAATGAAGCTGATCTTTTCTGTTCTTTGCTTTTTCAGTTCAGCGTGATTCCTTATCGAGCGTGCACACTCCACGCTGATTTCGATATCTTCAATATCTTTCTTCCAATGCGAGATAACAGTTTCGGCCGCTCACTATTCCAACACGACAATCAACTAACTTGCTGCTACCGACATGGGTAACAGTATCGGCATGCTACTCTCCAATGACATGATAGCAAGTCACTATACATTGTTGAGTACGGGGCAGCAGTGCCGAAGAAAGAAACATAAAATATTGGCTCACTATGGAGCAAAGTCAATGCCACAACAGCGATATCCATTGGTTTCGGCAGTTTTTCATTGACCGACGGAGTTACTGTTGGTGAACACACACAACACATTTTATGTTTCTTTCACCTCACAGAGATAGAGCATTATCTACTCTATAAGATGGAATATAACAACATGGACATGCGATGTGCTTTTCGAGAACGGCAATCGGTCTAAGCTAGCCTCACAATGGAGTTTTCTCACTTTTCTTGTCGTGATAATGCTAGTAAACGGTGCATGTTTCACACTTTTAAGAAAACACCCCGTGGGACATCCTTAACCCAAACCGCGAATCTAATAAGTACTTTGAGTAGAGCACTTAGCGATGCGTGAAGTTCTATCAGTTCACTTAGAGTTGATTAGTTGGTCAGTACTAAAAAAAAAAAATTCAACTGGAAAAGGAAAGGGTGCCTGCTTCGATGCGACTGGATCATTATGTTGACATAATATCTACAGTGCACCACACGGTCCAGTCCTTGGTCCAAGGAGCTGGCTGTCCAAGGCCACTCCATACAAAACACAAGTGCATCTATATCATTTGGTCATGGACACCGTCAGTTCAATTATTTGGGCTGATGGCAATAGTATGAAGCCAAGCATCCACTCCTTCCTGTAGCATGGAAGAAGAAGGCTTCGCCGGAAAGTGGAAGCCACTGGCAAACTACTTTTCAATGCCACGAATTTGGGCCTTCTCGCCAAGGTACAGCACCAGACTTCTGGTTCCTCCTTGTGGTAAAGCAAGGGAAAGGATCATGCGACGGGGGGTGGGGGCTTTGATGCTTGGTGGTGGCGGACACCCAATCATGTAAGCAAGGTCGCTCACGGCCACCTCCTCGGGCACGTCTACCTTGGGCTTGCTACTGTATCCGGATAGAAATCTGTCTGCCGCCCAGCCAAAGCACTCTTGCGAAAAAGCCAGCCCGTGTCCCGTGCAGTCACAGCGCTTGCTGGCTTATCGTGTCAGACGTTGCTGCGATAGCTGCTGCGATGCTGCGGTGCGTGATGAATCCAACCAGCAACTTCAGTTCAGATTGTCCACTTGTCATCGTCCTCGTCTTTGTCATTGTAGTGTAGTTGCTCCAACCCGAGCTCGTTTTAGCATAGCATAATCACCTATCAGTAGTAGCCCGTCCTAGGTGGCGGCAAGGCAATGGGTGAGCTCTGTTTCGGCATCCTATGTTACCCAAACCTGCCAAAACCGGGGCAAGTTAACCAACCAACTTGCAGCAACCTGTTGGGCAATCAAGTTCCTGAAGTGCGCCGAGTGTAGATTTACCGCACGGTGAAGATGGCTTGAAGATCGAGTACTGGTACCCGTAGGGTGTACACACAGTACAGCCGCATTTTATATTTTTTGGGTAAAGTGTGACTCGAGACTCACTCATGCCTGTGGCTTGACCGGTCACCATCACGCACTCACTCTTCTAACTTCTCACGTCCACTTCGATGCGAGGCAGCGATCGTGGGTGCATCCAAGCTGGACTACCAGCACTGGCTATTACAGTACGTAGCTGCAGCTCTCACAAAATCGAAACCAAAGCCAAAACAAATTCAAAACAAAGAGCCAAAAACGATCAAATAAAACAATCAAGTGTCTGCACTAGCCCCAACAAGCAATACTTCACTTTCTAGGACCATCCCACATATCTCCAAGAAATTCCAATCCATTCAAGACAAAGATGATGTTCATCCGCAATATTTCCCTCACAGCCGTGCTCATGTCTGTCAGCAATGCCATTGCTACAAGTCCTGATGCAAAGGCAGCAACCTCAGTACTGCAACAAACTCGAGACTTGGTGGTTGCACAAAGTTCTAATGACCAAGCCAAGGCTAATGCCGATGAAAAGCTGCTCATTTCAGTGGACGAGGTGGATACTATGGTGGGCGGCAACGACCCCTGCAGAACCAACTATCAAGTGTCTGCCACAGTGGTGGAAGTCACCAAGGGTGACTACAGACCAGGAGATTCCGTTGTGTTCAACTCTTATGACATTCATTATGGACAGAGTGGCTGTGAAGGCTATGCAGGTCCCTCCAACCCCACACAAGTGACTTCTGGATGGTGTGGCAATGCCTGGCTTGACTACAGTAGCAGCAGCAATGATCCCAACACACCGTTAGAGCTCGCAGCCTATGGAGATTCACTGCAGGCGGATTTTCCCAGCAAATGTGCCACAACCAAAGCTCCCACCATGGCCCCAACCCCTGCTGCCACAGTGCAACCCTATGATGAACTTGTCCTGGTGGAGATTATTACCACCTTCAAGTATCTCACTTCTAGCTGTGTCACCACATATGGCTTTCAAGGCACTGTGGAAACTGTGGAGCACACAACGGTAGGGTTCCAGAGTGGCGACAGCATTTATTTCACCATGGCTCATTTGAATGATTCCGCCAACTGCGTATCTACGGACCCTATTGAAAGTGAAACTGTACCCACAGCTCCTTGGTGCGGATACGTCAAGCTGAATGATGGAAACTCGATGAATCCAAATGGCACATTCGTTGCCGTTGACCTGGATGCCACCTCCCAAGACAAGTGCAACCGTCGTCGTCGTGCTGTGGAAGCCCCTGTCGCCACGGAGGAAACACCGGCAACTTCCGATGAAGTGCTCTTGGTGAGTGTTGTGACAGTCTTTCAGTATGGAAGCAAGCATGCGTGCGAATTGGACTACACCGTGGTTGCTACTGTCATTTCGGTGGACCACACGACCCTCGGTTATGCTCCGGGTGATTCTGTAACTTTTGACATGCAAGTATTCAACCAAGATCCTCCAAGCTACTGTCCCTTTGTGTCAATCCCCGGTGCTTCTGTCCCAGAGTTTGGTGCCTGCCTCATGGTGAACTTGAGTGACGGAGATGCCGCGAGCAAGCACGGTGCTGCACTGGCCTTGGATGGCATGGAGGCCAGCAAATCATCCGAATGTCCCCGCCGACGTCATCTTCGTGTGGCCCAGAACTAGACACTAGACCATTATTATTAACAAGTGATTAAAGAGCAGACTAGACAACACCTGTGGTTCGTACCAGTGGTATATTGCAGAGTTAGTCAGCTAGCGAGAGTTCTTGGTTGCAATGACGGACGGCGTCGCATCCCAATTCGTACCCTTCATTTCTCCTCTCCTCTCCTCTCCTCTCCTCTCACCTGAAGTAGTAAGCAAGGGTGCGTTCCGTCCGGTCTCACATATATGGCGGATCACGTGGGAACTTTATCTGCTCGTTCGCTTTGGTCGCATCGAATCGTTGAATCTGGTGATTACCGCGCTATAGTTAGGACTGGCAGAATGCTGGGAAGTTCACACTGCCTGCTTGGTTTGATTGCATCCGATGAGTACCCTACCGGTGCGGTAGCAGCGGTTGCTTTCTTCGGCCAATTCCTTGCCATCTAGCTAGTCATGATATACCGTAGTAGTCAGTCGTTCACACTCGTTGGGTGTATCGTCCGAGCACAAATGCGGCCACTGCGACGGAGATGGTCACGGCCCACCAGCATTCGCTACCAGTCTCTCTTACTGGTGTATTGTGGATTGTTGACGTTATTATTCGTTGCTCATCTTCTCGTGCTACTACATGTTGCCGGGTCAATTGTTGGGGTGTCCGACATCCCATCAATTGTAGTACAGTGGTCAATTCCTCTTGTAGAATGTTCAAGGCTCGTGCGACACCGTCTTGTCCTGCTAGTGCCAATCCCCAGAGTACGGGTCGCCCGACAAAGACGCATTTGGCTCCCAATGCCAAGCATTTGGCGACATCCTTGCCACGACGAATGCCGCCATCGACAAATATTTCCATCCTGTTAGTGTTGTTCGAATTCTTGTTGGTGTAGAAGTCCTGTACCGCGGCTGCACACTCCTCCAACGCTTGTATGGTGCTTTGGGTGCCATCCAATTGTCGTCCGCCGTGATTCGAAACACAAATGGCATTGACCCCGATTTGAGCCGCCAGGACGGCATCGTCTCCGGACATGATCCCCTTGAGCACCAGCGCCAAATGGTGTTTGTGACATTCTTGTTTTAGAAATCGAATATCGTCCCACGTCATGCTGGCTGCATGTCCTTGTTGTGCGACGGGTGGTAGTCGATTGGCGTCTTGCAACGCACAGGGAGCGGGAAAGCCTCCTCCCGTTTCGCGGGTTAAATTGGCGACCCACGTGGGATTCTTGTACGTCTTTTCGCGATTGCCATTGTTGACCGTGTCACATGTCAGTACTACTCCCACAATTTTGCTCTTTGTGCTGTTACTAGTGCGTTGTTGTTGTTCTGAATGAGGATGAGCCAAGTAGTCGAGGAGTGCGGCCATGTGTGCTCGATCGAATCCTTCTCGGTTGGGAAATTTGGGTTTGTGGGCGTAGATTTGAAAGAGCAAGCTACTACTCGTATCGTTGCTACTGCATGTACTATTGTCGAGTATGTCGGTCAAGGGCGTTGCCGCCCAATTGGGGACCGTATAGACAATTCCCGCCTGTGCGGCAGCCTTGGCAATGGCGATTTCTCCCTCAGGATGCACGGCACGACATCCCGCAAAGGGTGCAATGCCAATGGGAGCCGACAGAGAAATGCGGCCTTGCAAAATGGTCGTTGTAGTGTCGACACGAGACACATTGCACAACACGCGTGGGCGTAGACTGTATTGGGAAAATCCGTTGCGATTGGCGCGAAGGGATTCTTCATCTTCTGATCCATAATTGACAAAGGCGGCCAAAGAAGGCGCCATCGAATGAGCGGTAGCCCATGATTGCAGCTCCAAAATGTTGGACAGACTCTTCAATTCCGAAGCAGTGCATCTCCTAGGGACAAATGTGGCCACGCTAGTAGTTGTAGAAGAAGTCCCCGTGAGGGTGGGAGGCTTGTCGTTCGTGTACACTTCGTGTCTCATCGGAATCACTTCCTTCACATCATCATTGTTGCTGCTGCTTGTATTACTAGTACCGCCAGTGGATGTCATCCTTCCCAATACACGTCTTATCAAGTCCAAAAGCAAGGAAGCAACACTGTAGCGGCAGAAGAAGGTGGTTGTCGTCGGCCGAAGATCCAAAGATTCACCCACAAGCCCTCAAAGCTGCTATTTTCAGGTTACATGTACATCATGAAGAAAGGCGCCAACAATCCGACCCCTTGGTTGGCCTTGTTGCCCAACAGCCATGTCTTATTTCTAAAGTACTTCGTACGTACACAGAGACAAAAAGCAAGGAGCAACAGCGCAGATCCTCGGTCAAAGATCCAAAGATCTCGCACAAGGCCTCAGGGCTGGCTTACTGGCTTATTTCCAGGGGACACCCCGAAGAAAGGCTCAAAAACTTTGCTTCCCCAGTGTTTGGTGCCTGCATGCAAAACGAACAACGGCAAGCTACTGTACACGTAGACACGTGAGCAATAAATTCATATTATAATTTTTAAAATGAAAGTACGTACATACTATGGTTGTCCGCCAATTGCAGAAGGCATTTTCGTGGCTGGCTCATACAAGCAAGCAGAGCAGAGCAGAGCAGAGCAGAGCAGTTTTCTTACAGCCCTGGGCTACTACCGTACTCAAGATTGCCTCCGGCAGACTGAACATGTTCCTTTGGAAATAACTTGCCAATCACAAGGAGGATTGTGAGGACAGGGCAGTGGGATTTCCGTATGACAGTTTGAGCACATCAAACTGGCGCCACAGGATTGCCTGGACCATTTCTCCTCCCAAGATATCCATCGATGATGATCGGCAATCATACAGTCCGGTGTGCGGCAAACAGAATCCACTGTATCCTGTGTCCTTTGTTTGGAAGGCATGTTGCTTGCACGCATCATGACAGTGGTTAGAGGGTAGCCACCTCGGTGGCCTCGATGGACATGTCGGTGGACAACAACCTTTTTCACATTACTATTCATTTTCATGCAGCAAGTCTTCATCCACGGTTTCTTTGGGAGCTTTGTTGTTCCATGATCTTGGATAACCCTAACCCAGGCTTTGTAGAACTCTTTGTCCGCTTGAGACAAGCCATTGCTAGAAGATACATTGTCATTGGCTTTTTCTTTTCCCTTACTGTTCCCTCTTCTTTTGATGTTGTCTTCCGTCGATAATTCATTGTTAGACCCAGAAGTCTCCAGTTCATCTTGATTAGCATCCAGCTTGCAGTGCGAGCAACCACTATTGGAAATGACTCTCCACTGACAAGGGGGCTTGTGAGAACAAGGCAAAGGAATCTCAATATGACAAGTACAGCACATCAATCTGTCACCACAGCACTCCCTGGAACATTTCTCACTCTTGAGGAGCCAGCGATGATGATCAGGAACAATACAGTCTGCGGTTCGACAAATTGAGTCAATTGTCTCATGTGCCCTCTCTTTGCATGGGATGTTTGTGCCTCGCATCATGGCAGATTTGATTGGGTACCCAGTCCGATGCACACTAACACATTTCTGATTGCTGTTCAATTTCATGCAATGAGTTTCCATCCATGGTTTCTTGGGCAGCTTTGTCGTTCCATTACGCTGGATAGCCCCAACCCAGGCTTGACGGAACTCTTTCTCAGCATGCGGCAATGCAGCAACTGATTCCAGGCACTCCTCCTGTTGCTCGCCAATATATTCTGCTTCGGATTCATAATCCGCATCTCTTTCTCTCTTTCTTTTTTTGATATCCTTCTTTGAAGACATCGTGGAAATTTGCGTGGGGCTGGTATATCCGAAAGACCAGCAGCAATTGAACGCGACTTCCGTAGACTTCTTCCCTTCAACAAGTTCACAGAGTGTCGGAACAAAAACAAAAAACGGAGCATACGGCTGCAATTGATCAAAGATCTCCCACAAGCCCTCAAAGCTGTTTTTTCAGGGGACAAACTGCGAAGAAAGGCTCCCAATCGCTGGCAACCTGGCAACATCTACTAGACTTTCCTTTGGCTGCTGTATTGTGAATTGAAGTATAGCTACCGTACAATAGCAATCGTTTTGGTGCCTGCGAAAACGAACATTGGCAAGCTTTCATAAGCGCAAACAATGCGTATAAAACTACATACTATGGTTGCCCGCCAATTTGCAGAAAACATTTTGTTTCATTCCTCTAATTGATTCTGGAGAGTCCAGAATTGGACATTCTGTCGGTCTCCGGCACGATCAGTTCGAATCAAGCTAAAGAGGGAGACTCTTTGCTATTGCAATGTTGAGCTGCTTGTTTTGGCACTGCGCTTTCATATTGATGACCCGTCTGGGTGATGTAGCTGGTTGCAGACCACAATACCTTTACTCATGGATCTTACAAGCCGAGCAGTTTTCCTTGGCAACAACTGTCCATTCACAATGAGGGCTATGAGGACATGGGAATGGGATTTTAACATGACAAGTTGAGCACATCAAGCTGCGGCCACAGCATTCCCTGGAAAGCTTCTCACTTTTGAGGAGCCACCGATGATGATCAGGAACAATACAACCTGAAGTCCGACAAATTGAGTCAACTGCATCCATTTTCCTTTGTTTGTGGGGCATGTTGGTCCCGCGCATCATGACTGAGGCAAGACACCAGCCACCCCCAGCTGTACTATGACTTTTGTTCAATTTCATGCAATGAGTCTTCATCCATTGTCTTTTTGGCAGCTTTGTTGTTCCATTACGTTGGATAACACCAACCCAGAGATTGTGGAAATATTTCTCAGCATGAGGCAAGGCATGAACAGGTATGTAATCCTCATCTTCCTTCTGTTGGTGCTTGCAATGCAATTGGCTCTCGGAAGCTGCTGTAGAGATCAATGAGCTTGATCCTTTTCTTTTTGGACCAATCAATACATTTGCTGGTGATTCATTTGCTGCATCAGCCACTGGTTTGGCCTCATCCTGGTTTCCATCCTGCTGACAGTTGGTACAGTCACCATTGGACAAAACTCTCCATCGACAAGGGGGATTATGAGAACAGGGCAGATGGATTTCAATACGACAAGTTGGGCACATCAAGCTGCGACCGCAGCTTTCCCTGGAAAGCTTCTCACTTATGTGTAGCCAGCGATGATGATCAGGAATAATGCAGTTTGGAGTGCGGCAAACAGAGTCAACAGCATCCCACATGTTGGGCTTGCGAGGTATGTTGTTCGCATGCATCATGACAAGTTTGATTGCGTACCCAGTCCGATGCACACCAACACATTTCTGGATGGTGTTCAATTCCCTACAAGCAGTTTTCATCCATGGCTGTTTTGGAAGCTTGGTGGTTCCATGGCGAAGGATAAGGCCAACCCAAGCGTTGTGGAAGTGGAAACCATTCTTCGCATGAGGAAAACCAACGTCCGATTCCTCGACGCCCTCGTGTTCCTCATCTACCTGTACCGTTTCTTCAGATTGATACTCTGCCTCGTCTTCTCTGTTTCTTTTTCTGTATTCCCTCTTTGACGACATGTTGAAAGGTGGGGCGTTCTCTGGCGGTGGAATGAAAGAGGGGCAAAGAAGATGATTGGCACCACACAAAATAAGTGACACCACCGAGGACAGCAATAGATCGCTGCGAAGATACTCGTTGGATGCAAGATCTTGAGAGAGATCTTAACGGTATCATTACCGTTGGAGGTAACATGGATGAGTGAAATGCTGACCAAACAGCCTTGATGGCTTCATGTTTCAAACAAAGCAATGACGCATCACAACTTGAAGGTTTCACCTTCATCATGTCATGCAGCACCATGGCCACAAATATTAGTCGCCGTCGGTTGTCCATACTAGTACTTCTTGTGCCATCACCGCCATGAGTATTTGCAGGGCGGCCGTCCTATTTCTTAGTCTCGGTGTCATCTGCAACGCCTGGACCAGTGATTCTTACCCATCATGGCAACGTGCAACTTTGCAAAGTAGTCGTGCGACGGGCTTTCTGGCGTCGTCCAACTCGAACGAGATTGATGTGAGCGATCTCGGACTTACAATGGAAGACCTGGAGGCACCCCTACCAAGCGAACTGCTGGAAGGAATTGAGGCTTCGGGCTATGAATCCACTTCGCGCATCCCTACAGTGCAAGACGACGGATGCAGTTGGACCGAGAATGGCGACACCATGGACGTGACACTAAAGATTCCTGGACTGCGAGGACAACCTGCAGCATGTTTGGCAGTGGTCTTTTCCACCACTACTGCGACCATCACTGCCTTTGGTCACAATGTGTGGAGCTGCCTTTTGAAGGGGGTCGTCGATGCCGATTCCGCATCCTTTGTCACAGAAGATGGAGCCGACATGGTTCCGGTGATTCAGCTCTCAGTCAAGAAAGAAGACGCATCTCTTCGATGGGGAGGATTCATTGAACAGATTGGTGAAGATAGTATTCTTTAACTGCACTGTCTCCGTGCGATACGGTATGTAAATAACAAGGTTACTAAGCTACCTTTAAGAAGGGTGCCGGTTGGACTGTCACCCGCACCTTGGATCAAACTTTCCCCAATATTTGGACCATTCAACCTCGTCCGCGGAAGTGCTGCTGCAGATCTGATGTGTTATCTTGTAACTTTTTAATAGTTTCGTGTTGCGTCAAGAATGCATGCACACTTTGCTCGTATGCCAGATCCTATGTACGGAGGTGCTGTGCGCCTCCTTTCCGGCCTTCCAGAGACGCCGCTTTTTGGTACATGAAGGTGTCTTCGGCTCGTTTCATTTGTGCCTTTTTCCAGCGGTGTCCCCGGATTAGAGAAAGCTTGTTGGCTTGGGGCGATGGCATTTTAGATGAACGTTGCTACAGCTCGATTGAGTAACACAGTACGGAGAGGAACGTGACGCTGTGGCAATCGGTGAATCGAAGATACAACCAAATACTAAACCGTCCATGACAACTGATGACCTCCAAGGTTTCGGAGATTCACATAAACTGTGATGCTTCTTGCAATGGACCAAAGTGCTGGTACGATTGGGTGGCAACAAGCGTTGTGACAACCTCAGCGATCCAGTCAGAAATTGATTTCTTTTCCTTTCGCACGTGGCAATCTTATTACTCTTGGCTCTGGCAGACTGAGCACATTTCTTTGGAAACAACTCTCCATTCACAAGGAGGATTGTGAGAACAGGGCATTGGGATTTCAAGGTGACATGTTGGGCACATGAGGCTGGCACCACACGATTCCCTGGACCATTTCTCCTGTCTTGGCATCCAACGATGATGGTCAGCAATGATGCAGTTCGGAGTTCGGCAAGTAGAGTCTATGGAATACCTGTTCTTTGGTTGGCAGGGCATGTTTGTGCCTCGCATCATGACAAATTTGATTGGTACCCCTTTTGCATAGGTCTTCAAATTCACAAACACATGCTGCTGCTTGCTGTCCAATTTCATACAGAGAGTCTTCATCCATGGTTTCCTTTGAAGCTTTGTTGTTCCATAATCTTGGATAACCCTAACCCAACTTTTGCGGAAGTTCTTGTCTTCCTGAAGCAAGGCATTATCGGCCAATTGGGACGGGGTGCCCGTACGCGTACTACTAGTAGTACAATTCTTTTCTTTTTTCAGCTTTTTGTGTCTCTTGGTACGCTGGGGATGGCTCACGATTGTGTCGGTTCTTTTTCTTGTTGTCTGAATTGATTCAAATGTCGCGGCAGCCTCTTGCTTAGATTTTAAACGGCTTCCACCCTTCCGGCAATCTTTGCAGTCACCTATGGAACTAACTCTCCACTGACATGCAGGATCATGAGAGCATGGGAATGAGATTTCAACATGACAGGTAGAGCACATTAAGTTGGCACCACAACATTGTCTGGAAAATTTCTCACTCTGGAGAAGCCAACGGTGATGATCAGGAACAATGCAGCCTTCAGTGCGGCAAATTGAGTCAACTGAATCCTTTTCCCTTTCTTTGGAAGGCATGTTGGTCCCGCGCATCATAATAGTGGGAATATGGTAGGAAGAGTCATGTTCACCTATTCTGGCACGTTTCTGTTTGCTGTTCAATTTCATACAATGAGTGTTCATCCATGATTTCTTGGGCAGCTTAGTTGTTCCACTACGCTGGATAACCCCAACCCAGGTGTGATGGAATTTTTTCTCTGCATGACAGGTTTGTGTAGACTGGTCTCCTTCCCATTTCTCCTCGCCATCGCCATTGGATTTCGCTTTGCTCTCACAATCAGGATCCTCCTCCAATTCCCTTTTCACTCTCTTATAATCCCTCTTTACAGACATGGTGCTTACTTTGCTTAGCTGTTCAATAAAGTGCAGGGAGAGAAAGAGGAAGCTGACTGACCAAATGCCTTGTTGTGGCGATGTGGCATGTCAACTAACTGTCAAAATTTAATGTCGACCTTGGATCTTTGATGCCTCGACGAAAGATCGTACTGTATCGCCGCAGAAAGAAGCCGTTGAAGCGGTTATCACAGAAAGCACGACGCTCACTCGTGGCAATCGATCTTCTTGCCTCTCACTGGTGGACGTTCGTTCAATCAAGAGTCCTCTACCAGACGGGAGTGTTGGCCAACGCGGCGTTCTCATTCCTTTGTTGGGGCGCTCCTTGTTTCTTGAGTGGTCGACGACCAGAATTCTTCCAGGGAGACACATTGCAACTCTACAAAAGGAGAATCTGGGAGAGAACTTCCTGGCTTAATAGCTAGTCAACCAAAGCGATGAAGCCCGTTAGACATGAATTGAAGATTGTTTCCAAGGCAAGAGCGATCTTTCGAAGCAGGAGTTTGCTGTGGTGGCAGTCGTCTTTACACGATCCACTTCGTTAACTTTTTACGAAGATTTGATCAAAACAATATTTGCTTCCTCGATAACTGTCCTCTTTCGTAACCCAATGAATGGTGACACCCATATCCTTTGACGATGACTTCTGAGCCGACAACAGGTCAACTTATTAGAAGCTTGCGTAGGAGCGAGCAAATACGGTCATAGAATGCAATCAACAGTACCATGGTACCTTGACCACGGGTGACGCCATGCATAATTTGAAGTTTGAAGTGGCAATCATTTCCCTTCCTTGTTGCTGCAGCCAACACACTCTTCTTTGGAAACAAGGATCCACTCGCAAGAGAGATTATGAGAACATGGGAATAGGATCTCAATGTGACATGTTGGGCAAATCAACTGGGCTCCACAAGATTGCCTGGACCATTTCTCCACTTTAGACATCCAGCGGCGGCGACAGAGGGTAGAAGGTAGCTACTTCCAAAACACTAACGCGTGTCGGATTGCTGCTCAACTTCATGCAGCGTGACTTCATCCCCGGCTTCTTTGGAAGATTCAATGTTCCATGGCGCCGGATAAGTCCAACCCAAGAATCTCGATAAATCTTCTTTGCACAAGAGATTGCAATAGTCTGGTCACCTTTTGGTTTGTTTCCTCTCTTGGACTCTTTTTCGGAAGATTCATAATCTTCCTGTTCTTTCTTTCTTCTCTTAGAATGCTTTTCAGAGGACATGATGATCAATCCTCCTTGGCCTCCCTTGTGTGCTGTTCAAATAAGAAGGGAGAAGTTAAATGATTTTACAATGGGTTTGAGGGGAAGAGGGGTGGGAAACTAACTGACAGTCAGATGCTCTGTTTTGTACCGGTGTCAACTTTCACGTTTCGAAAGATCCGAATCCGTCTGGTGCGAACCAATAACCCGTCGAAGCTGCTGTTCACAGAAGACGAGCCTGCTGATCCCACTCTGGACCCCGCCTTCCATGCCAGCGGCATCACCACAACACAAGACAACATAAAACACAATCTATCCTCTCCATCCTGAAGCCCAGAAGTCATCATACCAATCAGTCAACAGCAACAGCAAGATCTCCATTTTTGGTAGACGACCCATCGTTGATGAGTTTGACCTGGGGTGAGCTGGTACAAGCAAGGCAGATTCGTCAAAAAAGCGCGGGATCTGGTCGAACCGGATCGTCGCATTCTACAAGGAACCCAACCGTGACACGCCAAAAATGCTCTTCAAAGTACATGGATTAGTTGCAATGGCGAGGCCAGAATCAGCGAGAATACAATTGCCACGATCATCATTTGACGAGGAGGCGGACCAGCGATATATGAGTGCGGGAGGTTCCGCATGCGGAGTATTTGACCACACGAAGCCGCGAAGACGACGTCAACTTGCCATTTTCAGTGCCGGACGTTCGATAAACGGAATTACTCAATCCCGTCTTGCACCACCTGCCCGTTCTACCACCTCGACAATTATTAAGAATGAGAGAATAAATCAGATGTTTCCTGGATGCTTGCACTCCTCGACGCCACGGCGAGATGGTTGGAATTCAATCTGCGAATCCCCGTACATCCGGTCTCAATCGCTCATCTATATGGTCCCGAAACGTACCTAATGAGATTGGTGTGTGAAGTGACCTTTTCTCGTGGACAGTCGGTTTGTTGGGACACTCCGTTTTGCCAGAATGATCGGAACAGAACGACGACTTGCAACACTACTAGTACATACAAACGGAGGCATTGGTTGGGCACTTTCTGGCAAATAAACGAAAGCGACAATTTATATGGTTCCAGTGCAAGCAAAAGCTTGATCGACGCAGGGTTTCTGCGATGATGGTCATTGTTCGACGATTCTTCTTGCGAGTGGCGGCGACAACCAGCTAGTAGCATCGGTTCCAAAACAGATTAAACAAACGACAGGAACTAGCTAGCAGCAAGCAGCTACCGAAGTACAGCAATCATACAAGGAAGTGCGTTCTGCTAAATAGAGAAACTAGCACCAGCACCGGTACGACGACGGTTTCGTGATTGCCATTCATCTTGATGGTACCGTAGGCATTCTGCTGGTATTACTCTTCATACTTGTTTCTGCAGCCTAAACATCCTTCTTTGGCAACAACTTCCCACTCACAAGGGGGGTTATGAACACATGGGAATGGAATCTCAAGGGAACATGTTGGGCACATCAGGTCGCTCCCACAAAACTGTCTGGACCGTTTCTCCTCTATACTGATCCAGTGATGATGGTTGGGAATGATGCAGTCTGGGGTGCGGCACATAGAGTCGATTGCATGCCTAATTTTTGGTTGGCGGGGCATGTTTGTGCCACGCATCATGACGACAGGTGGAGGTTGGGCACCATGTTCAGGGACGTGAATGGTAACTTGTTTGCTTTGCAATTTCATGCAACATGTCTTCATCCATGGCTTTTTGGGCAGCTTTGTTGTTCCATTTTCATGGATAACTCGAACCCAAGCTTTGTGGAAGTTTTTGTCCATAGGAGAAATGGCATTGCTATTATAGAGACAACCGCCAACTCTCTCATGTCCTTCCGTGTCCCTTCTTCGTTCGGAATTTTCTTTTGAGGTTGTGAAAGATGCACTTGATGCTATCACCGATCTCTTGTTCACTTCATCCATCAATAACATTTCCTGTGCATTATTGTTAGATCCAACAGTCTCCAGTTCAGTTTCAGCTTGATTTGCATCCAGCTTGCAGTTGGAGCAACAATTTTTTGAAATGACTCTCCATTCACAAGGGGGATAATGAGAGCAGGGGAATGGGATGTCTGCATGACAAGTAGAGCACATTAGGCTGGAACCACAACACTCCCTGGAAACCTTCTCACTTTTGAGGAGCCACCTATGATGATCAGGAATAATACAGCCTGAAGTTCGACAAATTGAGTCAACCGCATCCTTTTTCCTTTGTTTGCGAGGCATGTTGGTTCCATGCATCATGACACTTCTGATCGGGCAGCCTTTTGTATAGTGTTTTGTATACAAAGCAACAGTGTTCTGTTTGCTGTTCAATTTCATGCAATGAGTGTCCATCCATGCTTTCTTGGGCAGCTTTGTAGTTCCATTACGCTGAATAGCCCCAACCCAGGCTTGCCGGAAATCTTTCTCAGCATGTGGCAATGCCATGGACTTGTCAATTTCCTTTGTCTTCCCACTTTCAGATTCCCTTTCAAAATAAGATTCGCATTCCTCCCGGTCTTTCTTCCTTTTCTTTGAGTGTTTCGAGGACATGATCAATCTGTCTTAGCTTGGCCTGCCAGTATGGGTGCTGTTCGCTGGAGTTTTAGGGGGGGTTAGGCACCAGCGCGGGGGAGGGAAAAAGAAGAAGAAAAGGGAGAGGGTTAACCGTTGGATTCCCGATTCCGAATCGCAAGCAGGCAGGCCCGACCGGATCATAACTGACACGATCCAATACTTATAGGAAGGGGGGGAGTTGGCAATGACCGTTTACGTCTCCTATATAAAAGCAGACATCTCCCCCAAGGTAAGACGTCTGAAGAACATTAAAGATGTCAGTAAATGCGTCACAGAGAATTCAAATCTAGCTAACGGATACCTGGCTCACTCGCAGTTTCTCATTGTTTCCCGATCCTTTGCTGGAACCAAACCCTCCCGCCCACAACTTGAATTCCGAATAGAATCGACCTCGGTCAACGACTATCTCGCTGGTGCAACAACAACTGTCGACAATGAGGATCGCAACTACTTCTTCCTTCTCGAAGTGGCTGCTTAGTGTTGCTAATGCATACCCATTCAATGAGCTCAGGGCAACAAGGCATGGATTCACCTGCAAGTATGTCGTTTTTGAAGATCAGGACCTCAGCGTCGTCGGTGTCATTGAGAAGAAGTACAGCTGTGTTCCCACAAATAATTTTGACCATGTTTCCATTCTTGAAGATCTTATCTCCCAAGGAACATGCAAGCCTATTCCTCCTGACATGACAAACATCCTGGATTACATGTTCTATTGGGGTTTTCAGAAGAGTCCCAAATGGTACCATACGGTTCTCGCTACCCTGTATGCAATGTTGGAGGGGCGTCCCTGTGAAAGGAAGGACATCTTCATTGAGTGCATCTATTGGTTAGTGAAGGAAATGATTACGAAGAAATATGACTTCTACTCCAATGAAGGACAGATTGTGATGGATGCTTGGCATGGGTATTGTTGCCACTGGTATGACTACAACAACAAAATTTCCTTCCAGATATTGACTTTGATGAGTGAGACTTTTGTTGATGATTGCATTGAAGACATTGACAACCTAGGATTCTTGCAACCACACCATGCTGTACATGGTGGAAATCTAATGTAAGTTAATGGCTAAATTTGAAATTGTTGCTACCCATACCCAGTCAATCTTGATTGGCAATTAGCATCATGAGGTGGCCTTCCTCTTCTGTGAGTTTTCCACTGGCAGTATCTCTGACAGCAGCCATTCAGTGGAGGAGGTTGCTGGAAAGGAGATGGCAGTATTGGTTGGAATTGCTGCTGCATCTGCATGGTGAGTTGCATCATTTGAATCTGTTGTTGTTGAAATTGCAGCAGGCTTCTCATGTAATCGTTTCTTGGTTGTGCCACAGCTGCTTGGGTTGGTGGTGGTGGAGATGGATCGATTGCTGGACTCGGTGGTGGCTGGATAGCTGGTGGACTCGGTGGTGGCTGGATTGCTGGTGGACTTGGTGGTGGCTGGATTGCTGGTGGACTCGGTGGTGCTCCAGTGCAAGCTGCACAAAGGCAAGAATCATTGGGTGCGTACTTTTGTCTCTGTGGTTTGAATCCAGTAATGAAGTCCGAAAAGAATCTCTCTCCATTATCCTCTGGCAAAGGCTCTGCATTAGGAAATGGTTCATCCACACCCACAGCCAGTGCTAGCTCATTGAGGTAAGCCAGCTCCGAATGGTTCCAGTATGGAACAACCTTCTCCCATCCAGCTGGAATTGACCTCCTTTCTTCCAGACTTATTCTTGACAGGAAGGCTCTCTTGTGTCGAATGTTGAGGTTGTATCTGGCTGTACCAGCGAGGTTGAGGGCATCTGCTAGACTTCTTCTCATGCCACTATTGGCGAAATGGGCAAACTTGTCATGGAATGCTTCCAGTTTGGATTCTCCTCTCTTTGACAGATACTCTGGGAGGCTGTGCTTGGAATTGGGTGATGGTAGGATGGTGTCATACATGTCTTCCAAAGGCAGTGGATCAGCCAAGTGAGCGGCTTTATCAACACAGTTCTCTACTGCTGGCTTGGTATCGGGTGTGAACAAGGTAAAGTTCTTGACTGGATCGAGTCGCCCCTGTCCTGGCTGGCTACCATCACTGGCAGTCACCTTGTATCTGCAGAACCACTGTTGCAGCTTCTGTCTCATGGTCTCTGGCTCTCTCATCTTCTTCCTTAGATATTTGGAGTACCTAGCTCTGAAGACCTTGGAAGCTTGCATATCGGAGATCTCTGCCATGGAGTAGTGCTTGCCATTGGTGGATAGTAGACCATGTTTCAATGCATGGAGAAGTTTCTCATAGTCATCTGGTGAGTACACGTACAAGCAATCCAAGAGGTCCGTCAGTGCTTGAGAGTAATCAATGTGTCCTTTCCTCAAAGTTGACAGGATTCTCTTCTCATAATGAAACAGGCCAAGTCTCCCCTCAATACCTGGAAAGAGCACATCCCAATAGTCATCCTTGTGGGGCCATGTGTCACTGTACATGGCAGCTGGATTGAAGTTGTTCCTCCTTGCTAGCTGCATGGCAGCATGAGAGAAGTGGATAGTTTTGGTGGTGGGAACAAGAACAGCAGAGGCAATCTCACCAGTCTCTGTGGCAGCATCCCAAACAGCCACAGCACCAAGACTCTTGCTGTAGTTCTTGACAACCTGGAAGGTATGGTCTTGGCAGAATATTCCTTTGTCACAGGCAACACTCTGGATCTCTCTTGTGTGTCTCATATTGTCACTAATCCTCCATGGATTCCTGTTTGAAGCACAAGCAGCATCATAGATGTCACAGATGGTGTCACCAAGAGGAGGAAACTGTCTTATGTAAGTTCCATCCTTTTGAAGAAAGTGCACTATGCTAAAAGCTAGTGTAAAGATCTTTCGAGTGTTTTGAGTTTGAGAGAATGAAAGTTATGAGAGGATTAGAAAGCTATGAAAACTAATCGAGAGATCATTTGTGAAGCTCATTGAAGTTGGTCTCCCGCGGGAGGCCTCGAAGTGTGATATCGTAGGTTATGGCAATAACTCTACGTACTCCACGGTCCATTTCCGGAACCGTGGAAACTTCAGCTAGTAGCTGTCTAGTAGCGTGGAAGTCTCACGCGGCTAAATATCTAGAGCGATGTTTCATCGACAACCTAGTATGACTAGCAGTCATGAGAACCCTGTCTCAATGACTATTCGCGAAGGACTACGTCATGAGTCGAACTCAAACCCTATCTAGGTTCGAGTCACGAATAAGGCTAAGAGCCGTGTATTGCAGTGATATTTGATCCACCTGTTGACTTTCGGCGACGTGCGAGTTGGGTGTCGACTTTTTCGATTCGGCTGCTCGACGCCCTTAGATCTCGACTGCTGCTGGTAGTATGCCCTACAACCAAGGCCTACTCTCTTCCTTACACTAAAAGGAAGCGATAACGCTTTGATTGCAGGGCCATACTACCAGCAGCAACTGAGATAATGAGGTCGCAACAGTGCATGTCGGTTGATCAAAGCTTGTTGTTGTTCGTTTGTTGTTGGTTTCGACAACGGCATCTCGCTTTTTCAATCGTTTGAACTCAAATATTACCTGAACCGTGTTCTTCTACTGATTTACTATAGACTGACTTGCTGGATTCACCGGCAAGTCCCGTTTACAGCCAAAAATGTGAGTGATCAATACACAACGCTCCAATCTGTCTGTTATACCAGTGTCGACCGGCGTGCAAGTACCCCTTCGCGTCGAAATTACTTAGAGGCTTTTCATATTATTTATGGCTCGAACTAAAATTGAGGAATCCGGCCAGTGTAAGCCTGTTGAAGATTCCAAATTCCCAAATTTATACCAAACATATGTGCGAAAGAACTTCAGTACGTGTTGCAAACTATGGCTGGCTTATCACGTTTGGGCGTCCACCTCAAAGGGGTTGAGGGCTCTGGCAGCAAGACTGCCTAGGTACAGTATCAGTCTGATCGTTCGCAGGAACGGAGAAACTCGCGTTTTTCCACTTAATTTCACAATTTTGGCTGTTTTCGCAATCTCGCCTGTTGCGACACTCCCACAGTTATTAAAAACGCGATAACGCGAGTCTTGTAAAAAATCTTAAATCATGATCGTTAAATGTTTGTTTTCTCTTGGTTTACTCCCATACAAAATGCCACGAAAATGGTAAAATGGCAGAAAACACACACAGCGGAATTTACCGGATTGCACCATCGCCCTTCGAAGGGCAAAAGATCCAAGATATCGTTGAACGGTAAAGCCGCTAAAGCTAGAAAACACACCGATAACCGTCCAAAATTTCATTCTCGGCATATCACAAGCCCAGGCCCAAGTAGGTGCCGGTCATTGCCATCAAGAGCACAGAAAGGAAGGATGCTGTCGTGAAAGATGAAGTTGAAGAGACCTCTTCGTCCACACAAGAACAAATTCTGTCATAAATGGACGACATGTGTTCCTCTGACAGGTCACACTCTCGAGGGCAGTTTACCTCATCACAGTCAATGAAGAAAATGCGGCGAGAATGATGCTTGCACATTTCCAGCGGTATTGTTCCGTTCAAAGAAGTCTTTCCAATGTCAAACTTGGTCAAACTTTCTATCAATGCAAGTGACTTTGGAATTTCTCCAGACAGTAAGGTACTGTCAAGCTTAAGCACATCCAAAGCGGTCAACAAACCAAGCTCACTGGGGATCGTTGAAGAGATCCCAGTCCCCGAAAGATCAAGCCAAATCAGATCAGTCAAGCGGCCAATTTGGGATGGAATTGAGCCGCTGAGAACTGCAGAACCTTGAAGTGACAAGCTCATAAGCCGTTGTAGATTAGAGATAGCCGGCGGAACGGTTCCGGTCAGATTGTTGTAACCCAAGCTTAATCCTCTCAGATTTTTCAAGCCAAAGAGCTGAGGTGCCAATGAGCCGGTCAGTGCATTGCCATCAAGCCAGATCGAGTCGAGACGAGTAAGATAATGAATGCTGCTTGGAAGAGTACCACGAAGGTTCGTGTTTCCACTAATCGAAATATATGAAAGTTTTGTCAGTTCACCCAGTTGAGTGGGAAGAAGGTCTTCCAACGTGGTATTGATACGTTCTTTTCTTCCCAGGTCAGGGTTTCTATTCAGTTTGGTAAATTCGCCCAGGTGAGTGGGAAGAAGGCCTTCCAACTTGGTGTCGGTACGTGCTTTTCTTCCTAGGTCGGGGTTTCTATCCAGGGACAGAGACTCAAGGTTCTCCAAGAAGCAAACTTCCTTTGGCGTTGCTCCGTGCAAATTTGGTATGTTAGACAAGTCCAAGTCCACAAAGAGTCCATTGTTGCAATGAATTGACGAGTTTGGTGGAGTGCTGTGTGGCCAGTCACATTCATGCACTTCATAGTCCATCCAGTTGTTGCGTTCTGCTGGTGGCCACCAATCCCCATTAAAGGAAAAGTAGATGCTTGCCAATGCGAAGAGCTGCTTTTGCCGCTGTATGTCCAAGCTGGAAAGATTTGGATGCAACTTTAGCCAGTTCAAAGCTTGCGATTGAGGAGATGATGCATCATGTAGAGCAGCAAGAGTGTAGTCAGGGAACCCAAAGGACAAGCCAGAAGATTCTTGGGCGATGCCGCTGGCCACAGCGACGATCAAAGTTGCCAAAGCTGCTTTTTTCGGGACGCGAGCTGAATTCAGCATTTTCCTTTTCGAGCCTTTCTGTTGGTTTTTGCACTTCTTCAATTGTGAGAGTGAGACGAAGGGATGCCAAGGCAAGGTGCAGTACAATGTCATGTACTTCGAGCTTCTTGCTTGTCTTAGGAGAATTGCTACGGTGAGATCTCGTACCAAGCAAGTTTACATGGGTGGGTCGGTTGAGTCGAGTCCCATTTCTAAATTCCACGGTGTGCTCTTCGTAAAACGTGCTAGCGTGGGTCTCCGATCCTTGCAGCTCTCCCATGGCCAATGGAGCTCTCTCCCACAATACGGTATGGAACGGCAGGTCTCACCGCTGGTGCGGTAGCGTCCGATCAGTGAGAGCGTCGAGTGTGCTACCGTACTGGCCGACGTTGGCTTCGGCTGGTGAAGGATACTCGGCGGCTCTCGCTGAGACAAGCTGTTGTGCGAAAGCAACGAATTCTAAAGCAACAGTCCGATCATACAGTAGCAGCTACAAAGTGCTACGTGCACCGAATCAACTAGCGCGAACGCCATAAAATCCCTCGAGGAGAACAACCTGCAAAGTCTGCCAGACGAAGTACTAATACTAGCACGCGACAACGAGAGAGACAATGTAAACAAGTGTTCAAATTGCTCGAAATTGGTCTGAAGCCTATCTGATTCGAGATCTGATGTGCAGTTGCACAACCACACGAACATAGAACTTGAATGAATCGTTCCTTTGATTACCCCCAAAGGAGGGCGTCTGCCCCGGACAAGCCCGCTTTTACTTGCCAATCGCTGGTTCTTTTTTCTTCTACTTCACAAGTGGAAACGTTCCCTCTATACTTCAAGTAGGATCCCGGGAAGTTGATTCGAAAGTTTGCTTGATTGATTTTGATGATAATGAATTGAATGGAATGTATCTACGCAGGAGACATGCAGAAAGAAAAAAACTTGGGACTGCCATCTTTGGTACAAGCCAGAGTGATGTGCATACCGAGCTACATTGCATTGAAAAAGGAGAGAGAAGCCGTGGTAAGAAACTGTACAAAGATCGAAGGCCCCATGATGATTGAATCATTCGATTCGATGTATCCTCACCTTCTTTTCGGTCGGAGTTACCACGCGACCACTCCAATATAGAAGTTGGACGGGATCTGCCTTCAGGGACCCGTTGCTCAAGGCATCGGCTCGTTTGAGTAACTCTGCCATGGCCTCAAAGATCTCTTGATGGTTCTGAACCAATGTGAAGAGAGACTGGCGTTCTATATGCTCGCGCGTGGTTTCCAGGATGCTCTCAAGTTCCTTGTTGCAGGTCAGAATCCGGCCGTCGATGGATGCAACTCCATTTGCGGTCGGGGTTTGTTCAAAAACCGCCTGGTAGTCCAAGCCTTGAACAAACAGCAGTTCGCCTTGTTCGTTCGTCGCCTGTGCACCAGTGCCCTCCTTCTCGCCGTTGATCGCCCCATCGGCTGGTGCCGGGCTGGCATCCGGTATTTGCCCTGACGCCACCATCTCGTTTGTTTCTTGGATGGTCTTGAATAGTTTCTTGTGTTCGGAATCCAGCATGATTGCCCTGGTCTGCAACTGCTTGATGTAGTCAGCGACGCTGACGAGGATAGAGTACTTGTTTGGCTTGAAGGGGACCTTGGACTCTGACAGAACGTCTCGTAGTTGCTGGATTTGCTGACTGATCCGAAAAGATCGTTGCTGCTCTCTCAGGTTCCGCTCGTAGCGCCTTCGTTCTGCGGGTGACATTTTCTCGAGGTCCTTTTCCGTAATAATGGATCCGTCCTTGTTTCGAAGCTGAAATTCTGGGAAATCGTTCATATTCATATTCATGCTGCTTGAATTGCCGTTGGTGCTGCCACCAATCAAGCTGCCGTTGCTTGCACTACTATGAAGTGTACTCCCAGGATTCGACTCCAGAGAGGCTGTGGACTGTGACACCACAGAGGAATCATGCATCCGTTTGGTCCCCGCCAATGCGGCAGCCGCAGCCCCAGTTGCATCGTCTGGGGCAGCGGCAGTGGGAGGAGGCGCTGGTTGCAAAGGAGCAAACTGTGGTTGTTGTTGCAATGCTATTTGGGTTGCTTGCTGCTGCTGCTGTTGTGGTTGCGGAATCAGCATGGGCATGGGTATTGGAATCCCCGCGCTTGAATATGACTGGTGCTGTGATTGCAAGGTACCATTGGGGGCAATGGCCAGGGTAGCGGGACCCCCAGCTGTAGCTGCTGCAAAGATCTGGTGGCCAAGGCCTGCCGGTGCCGTAATGGATGTTGGAGCTCCATTGGGGCCTGCGATGATGTAGCTCTGCGTCTGTTGTGCAGAACCTGGAGCCGGAGCTTGTCCTGCATGTGTCGGTGCAGCTCCCAAGGCAGCCAGAGCGGGAAGGCCATGAGTGGCGCCTGCTGGCTGAAGAAAGATGAAGGACTGATGGGCCTTGGCCGCTTGTGCGGTTCCCTGGGCTTGTTGCGCTGCAGCTGCCTGTTGTGCATGCTGGCCCGCAGCTGCCGGTAGAAGGAGATTGGTCAGTCCAGCTGATGCCGATAGCTGCAATGCATGAGCCTGCAACTGATCAAGAGACGACATGTCGTAACCCTCCAATCCTCCCGCCGGTGCTATAAAAGTGGGGGCAATGCTGATCGCAGCAGGCGCATGGGCTGGCGCTGCCTGGGTGGGGGCCGCTGTTGCGGCGGCTTGCTGCTGTGGTTGGGCAGCGTGGTGCGCTTGTGCAAGGGTTCTCGCTGCAGCCTCCATCACTCTACGTATCTATCTACCAAATGATGAGGTTCGTAATCGCAGAGCTGTTGTGGAGAAAGAAATGGAGGGCCCTGATCCCCCCCGACAAAAGATTTGGTTCCTGGGTTCGCAATACACTACTATACAACAGATCAACATAAACTTCCGTCGAGACTTGTCTATCTCAACTGTCTTTCCAAAGCCCGGCCAAATGGCTACGGTATAGAGATACCTTTGATTTGATCAAAGTGCTCGACAGCTTGAGGCTCGTTTCCTGGGCCGATTGTGGGCAGGTGTCGATTGTCTTGCTATGCTGTAACAGATGGGTTTCCTGTTCTTGGCCACATGGCTCCGCAATCTCGCCGCAACCACTTTTCTCGCTCTCGAAGAGACGACGATAGAGCCTGGTTGGAGCTGCAACGCACTTGGGAGGGGCAGTAGGTTTCGTTTTTGCTTCTGCTCTGACAGGGTGTTCTGCTACTGACGTCACTCCTCTGTTTCAATTCGCTTCAACAACGTCAGTGCTATCATCACACCTTCTACCTCAAATATAAGATTATAAAACTCGTCTGTGCACACACGCACAAGCCCCGGTACTGATTACGTACCGCACCATTCCCGCGTCGAACCATTTCGGGAGGTGATCGAGCGAATGAGAGAACATTTTTTGAAGTCGGAGACGATCGCACATCTTTACCGGTCCAGTCTAACATTGCTTACTGTGGGCTCCTGCTCGAGCTCTGTTGTCCCTCTCGATCTCATTCTTCTCAGTCGGAAACTATGGCAAAAGGGTAGCTAAGTTTCATTTTGCGTCCAAGAGTTCAGTCATTGGAAATGCAAATACTATCCTGACACTGGCATCGTGGAGGTCGTAGGGTTTTGTACATGGTAATTGAAGCAAAACAATGCTACCAGAACTTGATAGTCATACCATTACGAAGAACAAAATATCTTAACATCAGGGAGAAGAATTTCACTAGTGACATATTTTTCAACTTTGGATTGCCACGTCATTTCAGGTCCACGCATATGTTCATAGTCGCCCTTTGGCTGTAGGATGGTGTCATCGCAGGCAAGCTCAAGCTCAAGCCACCAATAGCAATAAAGAACAGCTACTAGTACTCCCGGATTACCGCTGCCTGCTTCCATCCAGCAAGCTTATGCATACGCTTGGTTGGAGCGACAGTCGAGTAGTCGAGTCGAGTCGAGTCGAGTCAGGTCTATTCTAGTCGAGTCGTCAAGTGACTCGACTCCACTCAGTCAAAGCCGAATGCAAAGCAGCACCCAGGCATGGTGATGATGGAGGTGCAAAAGACTGCGATCTGTGGCTGCCCAAGGACGCACCATAGTTTTGTACCGGCACATGTTTCTTCTTTGGTGAGCTAGCTACCGGTAGCCAGTGGGTAGAAGGAAATAGATTGTGAAAAAAGCTATAGATGATGATAGCTATGGTGACCATTCCGTGCTCCTGGTGTCTGTGTGAAGCCAGCACCTTTTTGTGATCAATGATCCAGAACTTATCGTTAATGCCGGCAACACTGTTACAGGTTTGTGGCTCTTTTAATAAAGGTGAGACATGCTGTAGAAGAGTCACAACTCAAACAAAGTAGCTTCCAATATGGATTGCGGAACACAGCGCAGAATCCACTTGATTTCCTTTCTCCTCGAGATTGTCAGGACGATCTACCCGCCGATAGACTAAAAAAGGGACCGAAGCCGGAGACAGTGTAGGTACAAGACTGGTACGGTAGGTCTTGTGGATAGGGGCTGCTGCTTTAATGTACGGTACTTCCGGTTTCCGGTAGCTCTTCCGGTGCGGGAGTTGATAGTCATCCTGGTCACCATTCTGGTCTTTGAATGACTGAAAATTGAGTGATTGTGACTCCAACGCGTTTTGCTCGCCGCAAACACACCCGAGACCACCAACAACCAACAACACCATCACAATACTAGCTAGTAATTCAATTCAAAGGAAAGAAAAAAGCAACAAGCAAGAGATACAAGAGAGCTCATCAGAGACATTGAAATATTGATCGACCATGGTGGCACCCCTTCCCGGTACCGGTGGCGAAGCAGTGGTCTCAGTGAAAATTCGCCATTTGGTGTTTTTCTTTGGGCTGCTTTTGGTGATAGCACAGCTGGCTGTGGATCATGGATGGGGATCGTCGTTCAACGAGGACGATGAGGGTGGCAGTTCCATAAGGAGCCTGCGTCAAGAGGATGCTGCAGTGCACAGTGAGGAACTGATAGATCTCAAGAATCAATTAGAGTCGCTCGCACAGGAACTGGCGTCAGTTAAGGGCGACAAACAAAAGCAAGACAAAGACCAGGATCTGACAGGTCTCAAGAATCAATTAGAGTCACTTAAGCAGGAACTGGCGTCAGTCAAGGGCAGCAGCCAAAAACAAGATGAGAGCAGCAGCAATGAGCTGAAGGCGCTTCGAAAAGACCTTGAATCGCTCAAGGCCAACAAAAGCAATGAACCTGAACCCGCGAAAGGAAACGAGGCAGCAGCAGTCGAACCTGCTAAGCCTCAAACGGTGGTTGAAATTGAAGCAGAACCAGAACCTGATACTCCCTGGGCCAAACCTCACGCAAAACGAGAGTTCGGGAAGCCTTATGACAAGGTGGTGATAGCAACAAAAATCCATGGCCAACATCAGCTCTTTATTCTGAAGCAAATGCTCTGCTTGTTCACATTTGCTTACAACGACAGAATGAAATATGACGTTATTGTCTTTACCACCATTCCTCTGGAAGAAAAGGATGTTAAAGACCTAGAAGCCCTGGGATTACCCGCCAAAGTCAGTGTTGTGGTCGACAATCCCGGTCTTCACGTGATGGTGGACAACTTGGAGCCAGACCGGAAGGAGAAATTTTTGAATCGATGCAATGTCACTAAAACAGCCGATTTGAACTGGCATTCAGTGTGTTTTGAGCCCGATGGAACATGGCAAAAGCTAGCCTACAATTGGCAAGCAGAATTCAGATCCCTGCACCTTTGGAATCACCCAGCTTTGACAAATTACAGATACATGTTTTGGATTGATGCGGATGGCTTTAGTTCCGAAGTTTGGAAACGTGATCCAGTGGCCTACTTCATCGAAAACAACCTGGTCATGTTCTTTAATAACTTTGGCCAGGGTAAATCTGCAGGAAGAGTAAAAGAATTCCGGGAACGATTCCAAGCTGCCTTCAACAAAACTGTTACAAACTTGAGAGTTGAAGAGGGACATCTGGCAGCAGACGAGGGGCTTGGACCCATCCACCAAATCCACGGATTCTTGCATATTACCGACCTGGACTGGTTCCGTTCAGAACCTGTGATGAAGTGGTTACGGATATTGATAGGCGACGAGTTCCTGGTTCGCAGATTTTGTGACCAGTTGGCCGTCACAGGGGCCACAGCTGTCCTTGCTCCAGAGAGGAGCTGGGACATGCGCTCACATGGAATCAAGCTCAATGTGTTTCACAATGGACAATTTGATGGAAAAGAATACTCTCAGACTCACTTCAAAAAGTACTGGCATGAGCGTGGAGGAAAGGAAAAATTCCCCGTGGCTGCTCAAGAAACGTGCGAGGTCACCGCTGCTGGCTAATTCACTCCTCCATATTATTTGTTCGCAGAGGCAACAAGGTGCTTCGAACTCAGCTCAACCGAGATGGTTGGCTCTCTATCTTGCGTAGATTACCCTCAATTGTGTACTTCTTTATACTGACAAAGTAATCTTTCTAGCGGGCTATAGAAATTCATTGCTCCCATCAGCTAGCTTCGTAGCTTATGCCAAACGGGCAAGACCAAAATGACAACGCTAGGACTAGGAGATCATTACAAATGAAAAACATCTTGCTGGTGCCTGGCCAGACCTACCAGGTACGCGTCGCGGCGTATCTGGTAGCTGTCCCACCTCGTACTGCACCAGCCGATCTCACCGACAGGTCTCCAGCGCATACTGGTCCCATCAGCGTGCATGTTGTATGCTGCTACAATCTTTCCCCTGATTTCTGAGCCTATGAGAATAGCAGAGGTTGAATTTGATCATCAGAATGAGAGTCGATGCGGAGCAGCCTGTGACATGTTGGCGGCATATTCAAGGCTGCCACTGACACGTGAACCATTGGATCATCTTTTGTGTTGCCATCGAAATCAGTATCGTCGTCAACGCGGACAACTCGAATCTCCCAGTATTCCGACGAACCCCCTCTCCCTTGGTTGCACAAGTCTACTGTGGAAGCACTCCACAAGTCAAAGCACTCCCCAATTTGGCTCCTGCGCGCACTGAATTGATACGTAATGTTGAGTGTTGCAGACTGATTATTCGGGGTCGAGCCATTGTTGAGGTTGAAGAAGGCAATTGCCATACTGGCCTTATTCGATGTAGTAGTGGTTGTTGTGACTGATTTGAACCACACTTGCAGGTTGGTACTCGCTGCCATTTTGCCTGTGTTACTTTCAGCCGGAGCCCCGCTGCATCCGAGAACACAATCGGCCTGCCGGCCACTGACATCTTGATTGATGGCAATGACGCGCTGATTCAGCAAAATGTCGCGGTATACAGGGGACATGGACCGAACATCAGCTCCAATGAACAGAGGGCTTGCTATCATGGCCCAGAACCCGAATTGCAACCTGGCTTGTTCGACGGACAGCCCACCATGGTCATTGCTCATGTCCCCGACCAGCAACATGTCCGCATCGTTGAAAGTACCGCTTGGCTTCTTTTGTAGATCGCTCCAGTAGTCTGCCCAATGCATAATGATACTGTAGAGTGATTTCCAGGAATTGCCAATGTCGTGAAAATTACGCCAAGTGTTGCAGCCAGCCTCATGGTACAGTCCGGTCAGCGGCCGAGTGGATTCGTTCTTTCCAAAATAAACAGCCCAACTGCAACTGTAGATCAAACCAATTCCAGTTTTTCTCTGGGCCTGTTGGAGAGCATCTCCAAAGCGGGTGTACATTCTTGTTCGAAAAGTTGGATCTGGCATGTTGCACGCATCCATCTTGACGTAGGATACTCCCCACTGAATAAATGTCTCTGCATCAAGCTCTTCGTATCCATAGGTCCCCTCGAAATTGGCACAAGTCTTGCGACCACTATCTGCATAAATACCCAGAGTCAGGTTTCTTTGCTCCATGTACTGCACTAGGTATGGAATACCGTGAGGGAAACGATCTGGATCGGCACGGAGACGTCGAGTGTTTGGATCACGACCGTTGGACCAACAGTCATCAATCGACACTTGTGTATATCCAGCCTGGGCAAACCCGCCTTCGACCAAGGCATCTGCCATGGTGACAAAGAGGTCTTCATTGATGCAAGCTTTTGGCCATGCGCTACACTTTGTCTGACACTCGAAGCGCAGCCAACTCATCCAGCCCATGGGAGGCGTCTTGAGATTTGGAACCACTGGATCGGCCCTGCATATTGCAGCAAGAGCAAGAGCAACAACAACAGCCCATGGTCGCGCTGTCAACATCATCCTTTCAAGCCTCAAGTCAGGGACGATGATCAATACTACCAGTAAGTTCAATGCGATACTCACTCGAGTAATGGGATAATGGGATGTCTGACATTAAGATTCTGGTTGGATCCTGTTAAATCTTTATTTGGATGGTCGGACAGTATCTTTCTCAGGATTTATGACCGGCAAGAGAGACGAATTATTCAATAAATGAGGCGAAAAACATAATCTGAGATACGGTACGTACACTGGTACCAGCGCTGGCGGTACCAGAGTGAGTGTTGAAGCCATAATACATGTTACATGTATGCTCAGTGTCTCTCAACCCAAACGTTTTCACTACCTGGTAGCTAGTATGGTACCTAGCTAGCTAGCTAGGTTTCGTCGGTAGAAGATCTTAATACTGCGCTTTTTATTTACAAAATTAGCTGAGCTCTTCAATGGTTTTTCCATTCCGTCCCTTCAGCTTACTTCCTTTCGATCTTGGCGCAGCTCTTTTCCAGCCACTTCCAACCAGGGCTATCCTTTTCCAAAAGAGGCGACACCTTGGCCCAAACCTCTTGGTGGTAGTCGTCAAGCCAGTCAAACTCCTCGTCGCTCATCAAGTCTTTCTTGATGAGATTTTTCTGAATTGGAATCATGGTGAGCTTGGCAAACTTGAGAAACTTCTTCTCCGCAGACTTGGGTTCGTCGTCCCCTTCCGGCGCTTCCTCGTCGTGCTTTGGGTCTACGTATTGAATTTCAATCAAATTTTCAATGCGGATCCCAAAGTTGCCGTCTTCGTAGTAGCCAGGTTCGTTGCTGACCACCATGCCCCTCTTAAGACCCTCCTTGTTGGCGAATCGAGGAGAAATGCTATGGGGACCCTCGTGCACCAGCAGTGCACTTCCAACACCATGACCCGTGCCGTGTCCATAATCTTTTCCAGCCTCCCAAAGAGACTTTCGGGCAAAGACATCGAGCACAAATCCAGGTGTGTTCTCGGGAAAAACCATGCGATCGAGACCGATGTTGCCTTTCAGGACACGAGTGTAGTAGTCGATGAACTCCTCTGATGCCGCACCAAAATGCCAAGTGCGTGTGACATCTGTGGTTCCATATGTGTATTGACCTCCCGAATCAATCAGAATGGGAGTCTCCGCATCCAGATACTTTAAGAGATCGGTGCCTTCCTCGGCACGGTAGTGGATAATGGCGCCGTTGGCGCCAACACCGGCGATGGTTGGGAAACTCACTTCCTTGAATCCCGGTTGTTGGGCACGGAAGCCAGTGAGCTTCAAGTCTACCTCCACTTCACTGACTTTCTTTCCTTCGACCACAATGGTTTGTTCCAACCAACTCATGAAATGGGCCATGGCAGCACCATCTACGATATGTGCCTGACGCATTCCCTGTATTTCTGCCTCGTTCTTGCAGGCTTTCATGGGTGTAACAGCGTTTTGTTTGTCAATCATTTGTTTCTCTGGAACACAACTGGAAATGGCCAGGTTGGCGTTCTTTTTGTCGATCCACACACGATTTTTGGAGCTTTCCTCGCAATGCTTCCTGACATCCCCGACTACATCATCGTAGGGTTTGATTGTCACGTCCTTCAAATGTTGCTTGAGTTCGTCCGACTGGATTTTGGCGGCATCACAGTACAGAGTGACGGCATCTTGTGACACGGTGGCATATGCAATTCCACTGCAACAGCATCAATCAATAAGGTACAAGTAAGTAATGGTGATTAAGATTTTTCAGAGTTGAACGGAACCGAAAACAAACATCGTGGATGCACTTACACTGGACAAGTTTCAATATCTCCTTGTGCTCTCACATTGAGCAAATAAGCCACATCATCCAACGCACAAAAGACGGTCAACGTCGCTTTTTTGGATTCCATTTCCTTGCGGATATCGGCTACTTTTTCCTCCACTGACTTTCCAGCATACTCCAAAGGATGTACTTGAAAGGGAGACGTTGGAATGGGAGGACGAGCATCGCCCCAAACGGGGTCGATCAAATTGGGATGGCTGGTATCAATTTCAGCAATTTTGAGATCTTCGTCCGCGAGTTCGTCTTTTGCAGCCTCCTTGAATGCATCGGTCAATTCTTTTGGATACGAGGCAGCGTGGACGTAAGGATCCAATCCCACTCGCAATGGCTTTTGTGTTTCGGTGTATTTGGCCGTGGCTGCCTTGGCCAAGTGTTTGGAAATCGTGTCGACTTTGGACTGCCCACTCTTCATGAGTGTCCAACAGTCAGGGTCCAGCTGCAGTCCCGCTTCGTTCCAGTAGCGAGAGTCCGTCCACAGACGAGCATCCTCATGACTAATGACAGCCGTCCCAGCCGAGCCTCCAAACCCCGAAATGAATCCACGGCGTTTGTAGGCATCCGGGGTGTACTCGCTTAAGTGAGGATCACCCGAAGGAACAAGATAAACATCCAAATCAAGTTCCTTCATCTTGCTCCTGAGAGCTTCCAACTTGGCAGCAGGTGTCATGGTCGTTGTTGTCATGGTCTCTTCCACTACAGTTGTTGCTTCGGGCGATTCTGTGGCGCTGCTACTAAAGAGTGCTTGGTGGATTCTTCTTGGATCTTGTTGTGTCGAGCCACCTCGAACGCCAAAAATACCAGCAGAGCTGCTGGTTGTGAAAGGGCGAATAATTCTGGAATTGGCCGAACTGGAAGCGGAAAAGCTCTGCACAGAATACGAGGCTGTCAAGGCTAACAAAGCAGTGGAAGCATAGCGTCTTCGTCCCATCATTGTCACCATGGCAGTGTGTTGGTGATGAAAAATGTGGAGTCGTCTGGTTGAAATGGGTGTTGTCGTTGTGGCAACACGCGATAATGTTGTCGTCATGGTGGAGATGGATGAGATGGAAGTTCTTTGCTGAGTGGACGGGTGACGTCAGCCGTTTTTCAGTAGGGACAGGGTTTTGTACTCCTCACCACGGTACAAATCGCGCAAAAGCCGGACCGTTTGGGAATTGGCCAAAATCGCTTTTTTCCGTGATATTCGTGGTTTTGTTTGTTTTTTTGGATCGGAAACTGCTTCTTAATCGTGAGTCGTACATTTGATTAAGTCTATTTGTTCATGGATGATTTATTAATTAAAGGCCCCAGTGTTCTTGTGGTTTGCTCGCCAAATTCTTTTTTGTTTTAGTCAAAACCAAGAGTTTCGCGGAAAAACGCTAGTTTGGCCTCCTTACCGCTTCTGTTGCTTCCAAGGATCCATGTCACTCGTCCTCTTTCAGGAATTGAGGACCAACGCATCTTGATTGATTGGCCATGGCAGACAACAACTTTCAGGCTAGAAATAATGTCCAGGATGATGAGGATGGTGGCGCTATCAGTGAGGCACCAGCTGCTTTGATCAGTGTGGCTCTTGCCAGGAAACTGTTGAGATACAGCAAGAATGCAACCGACTTGCCCGTCACACTAAATCTCGACTTTAGCCAGTGCAGTTCCAAGGAGGCACTAGAGTTTGTTGGCGAGGCTCTCCGGTGCAACACGTTGATTGAAAATCTTACGATTGAGCTCTGCGATGAGGAGGAACAATCCATGTCCGCCGAAACCTTGCAGGATCTCTGCTATTTCATCTCCCACAACCCGTCGCTGCGATTGCTCATGATCGGAGGGGGGTCCGATCTAGCCAACTCGAAGGAAATCAGTCAAACGCTACTGGAGGCAGCCAAGCAGAACAATTCTATAGAGAGAATTCAGATTGGATCCCCCAGTGATGCTACCATGGATTCCATGCCTGAAAATTACGATTGCTTGTCGTCTTGTCGGGAACTTGAGCTCCGTGGATTGACGGAACAATTGGCACAATCTACTTGGCCCGAAAACCATTCCATTGAAACTCTCCGATTGTTTTGTCAGGAGTCACAATCCAAAAAGGAGTTTGAATCAAATCTATCCACAATCCTGGAAAAGTTGGAACAATCTCCCAGCGCGAGGAGAATCCGACATTTGGACTTGAGTGGATGGAGCAAAATGATGTCAACGTTCTTGTCTTCCCCAAACTCGGCAGTCCAAAGACTCAAGCTCACGGAAGTATCGTTCCAACATTCCGACATTGGCTGCTCGCCCATGGATGGCCTGCTGTGGGGACTGGTAGGACGTGGGGATGCGGCAACAACCTCGCTCGACATTCACGACTGTGGCTTTGACGCGTTGTCCATCAAAAAGCTACTGAATGCCCTCAAACACAATCATCTAGCAATCAACCACTTGCGAATTCATGGATTGGATGCCTTTCGCGGGCAGGATTTGCGAGACCTCTTGACACTTCCTTGCTTGGAAAGTCTCGGCTTGCTATGCTGGGGTACTGACACGGATGATGTTGACAAGCACATTGGCAGTGTGGATGAAGGACTTCAAGAATGCTCCTTATCCTCTGTCACCATCTCAACCGGAATGTTGGCACGCTTGGAAAGGGGTCTGACAACCGCTTTGAGCCAATTGTCCCTCACACGGTTGGATCTCTTTCGGTGCGATCTCTTCGAGGCGGACATCGACTGTTTGGTCAGGCTTATAAAAGACAAGAACTGTCACTTGCAACATTTGTCGTTGACTTCAGTCAGTTGCATGACAGAAGAGGGATCCCTAGAATCCAAAGTCTTTGAGTGCTTGCACTACGACGTATGCCTAGCAAGTCTACAATGGATGTACTACGTTGACGAAACTCCGTACGCTTTGTTCGAAGCTGCAGGGAATACCAACATAGAGAAGTGGACACTTAAAACCTTCAAGATATTCACACCTGACGCGTCTGCTCCCGGATTCCACGATGCCATTGACAGCATAGCATCTTCAATGTCAGCGAACTGGGAATTGGAAGAACTCGCAATCGCAGGGGTAGCGTATGATTTTGATGATCCTTACCCGGAGCCAATAGCTACTGTGGGTCAACTGGAGCAGATCTCTGCTTACGAAAACAGAAACCGGATGAAAAAGCTGATATTCTCGCCAGCGCTTCACAACATGACGAAAGCAGAGTGTGTCGGGATACTAGCAAGCCTGTGGGAGGGGAGGGGGCTGCCAGATTGGCTTTCGTTGGCACTGTGGCTTATCGAGGAGGTACCTCACCATTTCTTTGAATGAACTTCAGCTACCGTACAAATGCAGTACCGTATAAGCTAGTGCTCAATCATGCGGATTATTATATCTTTTAATTAACTACTCTGTAAATAATCGTGTTGTATCCATGCAGTTCACCCACCCTGCCCATTATCTCTCGTCTGCTGTTCCTCGGTTCGCAGCGCATCTGCTGCTTTGCCTCTGCCGTGCTTGCATTAAACGGTGACAATCACATCTTCGTCATCAACCTCCTCCATGTCGTCATCAATGGGCTCAGCGTCTTCCTCTGCCAGCTTGGTGGACTCGTCGTCGGTGTCGTGCTCGTTCTCAAACATCTCGACTTCTTCCGTGTCAACCCGATCTTCCTTGGCTGTGTGGTATCCTTCGTCAGAGTCACTGTCCGTATTGCCATGGCTGTGATTGCTGTGACAATGGTTGAAATCATTCTTGGCTTCGTCGATGCGGCGACGCTTGGCTCCAGGCTTCAAAGATTCAGGCGAACGGTCATCGCCCGCATCATCGTCGCACTCAGTCTCGTCCACAGACCGCTTCTTGGGGCTACGTGCCGTGATCTTCAGAGATGAAGCAATCGGACTCCCGTTTTCGGTCAAGCTTTCAGTAACGTTCAAAACTCCTTGTGCCGCCGTCGCAGTGGGACTACCAGTACTGCTGTTGTTGAAGGTACGAGTCTCGCGGCTGAGATGCTTTTTAGTCTCGCTATTTGCTTTCTCCTGCAAGTTGGGCCGCACAAGTGGGCTCACAATGGTAGCAACTGATGTGTTGGGGGGCACCAGAGCACCGTCCTGATGCACCCCACTGCTGCTGGATGATGCCGTCTCAATTCGCTCCACCAATGGCACAGCCCCGGGAGGAGTGCGACGGAGGAAGGGATCAACTAAGGGTGAAGTCAAAATCGCAGAAGGACTTCCTTCTTTCCGAGTGTTGGATGCAGCGACAGTTTCGTTTCGCGTCAAGACGCCTTCCGGCACGAGGCTGCGGAACTCCCGACGCATTTCCTCTCTCTGTTGCTGTGATTCATTCTCAGCTTCCTCGTCAGTCAATTCTTCATAGTGTACGTTGTCTTCATCATCAGAGTATTCATCCTCGTCTACGGTACTGTCCCAAGCAAAAAAACAGCAGGAGAAGACAACTCCAACCACATAGAGGAGAACACCAAGCCACAAACTTGTTTGCCGTAAGCTAGAGACCAATGTCGTCTGCTGGGCTTCCGACATGAAATCCTTGTGCACGGCAAAGATGCAAGCAACCTCAGCAATCCTTTCTAGAAGCAACAGCCCGGACAGGTGCACTCGAGACCAACGGCAGTAGCGTGGACGAGTCACAAACCACACCACGTTGAGCGCAAGGCACCAGTACAAAGTGAACACGAAGAGGTCGTATCCATGCTTGGCCATCGCAACCCATGACTCCAATGTCAACAGAGGTTGGAGAAAGCTAGTTGCCGAGACAAGCTTTTCCAAATGCAAACGCTCCAGTTCTTTGGTTCGATTTTCGAGGAGGAAGGTCTGATTGCGGAGCAAAGCTTCGTAGTGCTCCTTTTGCTCACGTACTTGTGCTTTCCAGTTCTCCATCAAAGCGGCCGTCCATTCCTGCATTTCCTCTTCTCTTTTTCGAAAAGCCTCTTGTTGGCCCTGTATCAGTTCTCCGATTTGCTGAATGGCTCGTTTCGTGATGATGGCCAATTGCATGCCCACTTGCTGTTGAAAGCCAAGGGACATTTGCTGCGTCAACTGATTGCACAATTGAACCACCTGGCCAAAGAACAATGTATATGCGTTTGACCCCGCTTCGGTGAGGCTTCTGAGACAGTGTGGTAAATGGGGAAACTGCTGATTGTCATCATCAGAAGTAGAACTTTCGGGTCCCAAGGCGATGCAGTGCCGTGGATCGGTGACAACGCTGCCTTCCTTGTTCTTGGCTTGAATGGAGCCTTCCTCAATAATGTCACGTCCAAGGTCTTCCAAATGACAACGTGCGAGCTCAAAGGCTAACGCTTTTTGATGCTGTGGACCCATTCGCTCGCAGACCCTTGAAGTCATTGCCATTTCTTGTTGGTTCTTGGGTTGAAAAATCTTGAGGGCTTCGACCCAGCATTGTGGTTGTCGACGAGGAACAGCGGCGCCGTAGAAAGAAGGAGCACCAGATAGGTTGATGTCTTCGCTGGACCACAGTTGCTCAGACTCGGAACCGAGTTCGATTTCTTGAGCACACCCTCGGTGCCATGCTAGACTCAAAAGGAGAAGGACCGGAAACAACTTGACAACGATAGCAATTGCTCGAAGCATGGTTTGATGGTGTCGTCCTTTCCAATTCGACGAAACTATGAAGGCATCCATTGTCAACCAATACTAGCAGAAGAACTCTCAGAATTGATTCTTGGATTAATGGCGAGACATGCACAGCGCAGCGTGGATCTCTGCGTTTTCTGTCTCTTTTTGCAAGGATGAAAACGGCAACGGCTTTTTTGTTTTGTGGCGCTTTAGATCCCGCCCTGTGAATCACGTGGGATTCTTTTTCGAAATCGCATTCTTCATAATTTTTGTTTCCACTTCCCAGTTGTTGTCTTGTGTGGCATTTGGCATTCGATCATCCATTATTACGGTAGTAGTAGTAGCTAGCTAATAGAGGAGGTCAACTTGCCATTGTCGATCTCAAGAAACATGCTGTCAACAACTCGAGGTTCTGCCGCTCGCTCGCTCTGCCAACACTGGGCGTCACAGAAGCAATGCCGATGGATGTCGTTGGAAGACAAATCCAATCTAAACCTTGGCGACCTGTGTGAAAATATTGCAGAAGAGCACAATTTGACAAAAGCCCAATCGAGAAGAATCGTAACTTCTCTTTTTGATAGTATCACTCAGGTGAGAGAGTGACTGACGAATACCGTACTACTCTGTGGAGGTCTGCTTTATGGAGCCTCAACTTCCACCTCTTCTTCACTCACAGGCTGTGGCAGACAAGAAGAAGGTGTCCATTAGCAATTTTGGCTCTTTTGAGAGTGTGCATGCCAAAAGCAGAGAAATGAGAAACATACAAACAGGCGAGAAGTACATTACCGCAGCCAAAGAACGGGTCAAGTTCAAGCCGTATACCCACTTCAAAGATGAGGTCAACAAGTGAAGAAAATGAATACTACAATCAATACCTATTTTCAAAAAAGGCAATCTTTCAGCAGCCTGGCAGTATGGTATACAGTACAATCATCCACAACAGCGCAATATCCACTAGATAATCTAGTTTATTCTTCCTTTTACAAAGAAGATCTTACCATGGCCCAGGTCGATTCGACAACATCATTAGAATCACGTCCCGAGGGAAGGCAGCAATCCACCAAATTCAGCTTCAATGGCAATAACGAATAGGTCGTCCCAGAATGGGTAGAACAGGAACCCTTGTGCTTTCCAGGAGAAATCACGTCAATCTCCGTATGATTCAAGTGCACAGCAGTGTCCGCCAGCGGCTTGCAGCGAACTAGGATATCCATCTCACAAACTTGCCTTGGTTTGCGGCATTCTTGAAACATCAAGTACGATGATCGGTCCACTGGATCCAGCAATTGAAGTATCTCGTTCCGTTCGCTGGTTGCTGCAGATGATTTCCTGCTAGCCCTTTGTCGTTTCTGATACTCCTTGCGCTCCTTTTCCCGAGCGTTGAACATGAAATTGGCACCATCTACTGCCTTGGCTAGGTGAGACGGAGGAGGGACTGTCTTGGAGAAGCTAACGGAACCAGTTGAGCTCTTCCACACCCCCTCTTCAATCATTGCAACCGTCACAGGATCCATGGCAAGTAGCATTTTCGCGGCATCTCGTTCAGCAAATAGCTTGGCTTGGCCCGTGCCGTCGTCTAAAGTGCCGCTACATTCCCATTTGATTTCCCCATAGCACTGTGATGTTGAACATCCGCTGGGACAAGCTAGTGTTGATGCTTCCTTGGCCGTGAGAGGCTTGGAGGGCGCATCAGGCGATGTCTTCCGAGGACCTTTCGATGTGGGATTCTTGTTGTTGCTTCCGTTTGCCCCAGGCGGCGGAAGAGGATGATGCCAAAAGGTTTGCTTGCTCTGATCGTCGCCCCAGCCCTTTTGCTTGCTCTTTGTCTGCCTGGATTTGTGGCCATCTCGTTTGCTTGTCTGGTGCTTTCGTTGACAAAGTGGCCGAAAACACTTACTGCAGATGGCCTGCGCTTCGCAATAGGAGACACCCAGAAATCTTGCTCCAATCACTCTTCGAACAAGTGAGGGTGCAATTTGATTGCCTATGGCTGTCGTTGCACTCTTGGGCCTCTGCCGACATTGCAAATCCAAACAGATTGCTTTCAGAAGATCCCCCAGATGACACTCAGGAATGCCTGAAACTGAAGCAGGGGACAACTCCATGAGCGGTCCTTTCATGCGTTCTGCAAGTTTGCAGCGGTCGCCGTCAAGGACCGTGTTCTGTTTCGGCGTATACCTCAAAGGACGACGATCCAACATTCCTGGTAGGAACTTCAGGCCACCAACGGCGTCAAGCAATCCTCTACTACTTGGCCGTGGAATCCCAGGTCTCCCCAGCGGCAACTGAAGGCCTTCCAAGTTTTTCGTCCCGGAGCACCTTAGAAGCCGCGCACGAATACGAGTCATGGAGCATCCAAAACGCTGGTACCCGCGGGCATCGGGCTCTTTGAGAGCATCGACCGAGAGCTCCACCATGACTGGATTCGTCATCAGGGCGGTGGGCTGCGGATGCAGCACATCGTCCCATCCACTGGAAGTCAAGACGCAAACCTCTGGGCTGTCCGCAATCTGCCACCAAGGCAACGCCAACATCGTTGCGTCACCCATACTAAACTGTCTGGTGGATTGTAGCATGCACATCATTTCCCTCGTCAGATACGATCGTTTGCTGTTCAAGTCTTTGAATTCAACCGTAGCTTTCACTTCAATGGACTGCAACGTCGAGTCTCGATGCCCAAATCCCCCTATCTCCACACTCTGAGAAACGGGTAAGTGAGACAAAGTCAGGACAAAGCCTTGGTATCGATTGTCCCTTATCCTAGAAAGTCGAAACCTGTTTCGCACATGGATGCCCAGAATAGCCGCACTCTCATTGTCTCCAATAAGATGTCCACCGGGCTCCAAACTTTGCTGGACACTGCAATACATCGGGCTTTGCTTCTGCGCTTCTTCTGGAACGCAACATTGGCCATTTGACGTCTTCACAGTTGCTTGGGAGCATGTTTCTCCTGACGACAAGTTAATCCTAGGCTGATTGTCGTTTACCTGCACCAATGTTTCGAATACGCATTGCGATGAGATGACGAAAACGAACCCTTGCGTACACCACATGGTACAAGCGCCCGCCAAAGCTGATGTAGGGGAGTTGGCAACGCCGTTGTTGTTCCTATTCTTTGGAGCAAAGTCACTGTGAGGTGCCAAATGACGCATCCTGTCTTGGGGCTGTTCCGTCGAATCGTTGGACTGTCCATTATCGTTTTCACTGGCTTGGTTCCCATCTATCGTTTGTGTATGAATCCCCACGCATAAACAAGACACCACTACGTCGTGAAGCTTTCCAACCGCAAAAGCAGCAGACTGTCCGTTCGAACTGACAGGGTTCTGTCGCCTCTCCGCGAACGGAGTGTCTCGAATCATCGTTGCGGGGAGCACACACTTGTCATTTGCCAGTGACGCCGACGCAAGGCATTTCCCGTTTTCCCCACTGTCTTGCAAGTAGCTACCATTGGAAACAAACCCCCCTGTGAAAATCTCACACGAGCCCCATCCGTTCACATCTTCCTTGCCAGTGCTGTTGCCATGTCGATCAATGCCACCCAAGAGCTGTGATGGCGTCAGGTGAATAGAGCCAGTCCACCCAACCTGTGGCTTTTGGTGGTGCTCCTTTTCTGTGCTGCAGTATTGGATCGTATTCTGAAGCCTCTCCTGCATGACCCGGTGCCCCTCTTTTCTCAGATCATGAAGCGCAACCCAACAGGGCAATGGCTGCGTGTGCCCGTGCTTCAGCCGTGAGCAATGACATCCATCACGACGAGGCATAGTAGTACCAATATGTGGAGCCTCCTCCACAGTGTCGTCATCTCTGTTGGTGGAATCGTGATCCCCAATACTGTCGTCGCAGACGTGATCAAAGAACTCCAAGTATGGATTCCGTGTACTTGTCTTCGTCGCCCGTGTCCCGTCTTTTATTCGACAATGTTGATTCCACCATACCTTGGCAATTTCGTCAAAAGTTGTTGGTGGTGGGTCAGCGAAAGAGCCGTCATGGTTCGATCGCATCAGCGTGGATTGAAAGTTGCCTTTGGCATGATACCATTTGTACAATTGTTGGCGACAGGCATATTCCCAATACGAGCGCTGTACCGACAGAAATGCATATGGCCTTGATGGGAAGCACTGCTGTTGATTGGAGGATGCCGTCGTGGTGGATTCTGGGGGTGGCAGCTGGAGGAGGGCGACCGTGGACCGAACACAAGCCCCGTAATACATGGTCTTGGAAGTAGATGCTTCTTCTTCTGGACACTCTGCCAGAGAGACAATAGGATGAATGTTGAGTGCCTGTATGATAGCCCCTCGCCGCAAGCTTAACATCATGGAGGGTGACATGGGATAGTATAGAAGCAATAGCACATGTCGTGTTCCTGGCGGTTGGGGTTGTGTCGTCACATTGACATTTAGTTCGAGGGAATGAATGTATGTTGTTGCAGTAGCAGTCTGCGAGTCACCTCTGCTGGCCGTTGCCCGGGATACTATATGTCCTTGCAGTGACACCAAAGGGACTGGAGTCGATGGAATGATTGTTGTTGGTTGATTGCTGTTGTTATTATCCCAAATGATACTGTTGGCGTTTTGAACGACAAAAACATGAGATGGAACTCGATGTTTCAAATGTAGAGCTGCCTTTCGTCGCACTACTTCCTCTGGAATTTTCCATCGCTGTCGCTTGACTTGCCACAGTTGAATGCGGTCTCCTGGTAGGATTCCTTGGTGAGCAACGAGACTGGCACTGCCCTGAAAGACAACGACACAACTGTAGACTTGGTCTGCTTCGCTGTCATCATCATCGTATAGTTCCATCAGGGCAAATGGTTCTGATGCTGTAGTATTGTTGTCCATGTAAATAATGGGTGAAATGGAATCGACTACCAGGCTCGTCAAGTTGTAGCGATTGTTTTTTCGTTTCTTTTTTTCACCTTTTGAAGTTTCCTTCGTGACGTCCTTGGTCCTTTCCTGGGAGAAGACCTGTTTCAAGGACAAGAATTCATCGTCGTGGGTTTTTGGACAGGGTGGCATTGCTGCTACTAATTGTAGTCCATCCTCGTAGACTTCCAGCAAGGCAGCAGCCACTGTTGCTTCCACTGCTGATTGAGAGGAGGCTTTTCGCTTGCGCGAGAGGTCTGATGAAGTGTCGCTTACATGTATTTCGCTTGGCGGAACTTCCGTTGGAGCTAGCAGGGAAATGACATGATATCTGGTTACTCGAAGGGCGATTCGGAATCTTGCAGCATCACACACACTCTTCAGTAGATTGGCCGGAACCGACAATAGATACTCAATCTTGGATGATGGTGATGGCGACTTGACAACAAGATAGAATCCTGCTTGTGGACAGTCCATGTTTCCATCATGGTCGACTTCTTGGCGCGATGTGGCAGAGGTGGTTGAAACTCGTGCTCTTTTTCGAGTCTGACTGAGAGGATGTAAAGGCTGCCATCGGTATTCTACGAATCCTTCCAGAATAGCTTGTCGTGAAGACGCTGGAATTGGAGTAATTGTCATTGTTGTGGCCTTCTACATAATCTTCATTGTCAGCCTCATCACCTTGTCGGTCGGTCAAGTCATGAACCATGGACCATGGACGAAGGCTGCTCTGAAGAAGCTGAAGAAGTCGAGGGCATCGATGTCGGATCTTTCATCCGAATTTTGGCTGAGATGAATCGAATCGAATTGAATCGATCGAACACGAAAGCTCATTCGTGCCTGTGAGTCACTCTGGTCTCATTTTTCTCGGGCTCAGACTTCAGCATCGACGACGATGGCACGATGACGGTATCACAACGAATTAACCGTCGACAGGTGGCAATACAAATCGAATCGTAGTTACTACTGGTGGCTAGCAAGCTAGCATACAGCTGCATTCCACTCATTTACTAGCTAGTAGGCCAGTAAGTATCTCACTTCTGTAGTCTTGCCTGGAACCAGAAACAAGCCAATTTGTGAAATCTACCTCCGACACAATGACATGCTTCCACCATCGCCCGTCGCTGCTGGCTTTCCTCGTGATGGCCACAATGCTGTTCATGGTCACGGCATTTCCCCCGCTTCACACCGTTACTACTACTAGACAAAAGTCGTCATCCGTGCTGAGAGCCAATAATAATAACAATGACAATAATAGTGACGATGGTATCAACCAGGATAATCCGCTCAAAGGCATGGAGCTCACCAGTGCGTTGGCACGGATCGACGAACAATGGCAAATACAGCAACGAAAAGCACCGGGACAATCGCGATGGACCAAACTCGTACTGCCCAAAGAAGAAGAAGACGAAATCGCGGAAGATGCCTCCTTTGAACAACCACTAAAGAGTGACGACGAAATTGTCTATCTTCTGGAACCAACCAACTCATTTTCACCATCCTGTCTCATTGTTTTTGTCGGTGGCGCTGGATTGGGACAATTTCCACAAATTGCGTATAGTGAATTCCTCAAAAGACTCTCGGACAAACTGAATGCTGCCATTCTGACAGTCCCCTACACGGTTGGATTGGATCATTTTGAATTGGCCAAAACCACGGGGGATCAACTACGGAGAGCCATTCTCTACTGCCAAGATGATCCCAAACGACAATATCCAGAAACCATGCCAGTCTTTGCACTCTCCCATAGTTTGGGATGCAAGTTACAAACAATCTACGTGGCGGCTACCAAACAACAGTACCGTGGGATGGGATTCATCAGTTACAACAACTTTTCATTTGGACAGACGCTGCAAATGGCACGAACTTTTGCCGAACAGTTGCGGGGAAATTACTACGGTGGTGACGATGTAATGGATCCATCTGTCAAAAGCAAATCGAACGAAGCATTTGATATGATCTTTGGAATGGCCGAGACCGTCTTGAATGCGGTCGGATTGGATTTTTCTCCTTCTGCTCAAGATACCCAACGAATTATTCAGCTCAAGTTCGATGACGAACTACAACAAAAGACGAGACTCTTCGTCATGGATCAAGATGATATGGATAGCAGTGCTCAATTTGCCGATAGTTGCGACGGCACAGTTTCGACCAGCGGAGTGGGAGGAACCCACTTGACTCCTGTCTACTTCAAGTTGGGCTTGGAAGATTTGCCGCAAGATATCCCGCGAGAGCTTGCCGAGGAGTTTGCCGGAGGTTACGAGAGTGCAGCATTTGGTGATGAAGGCAATATGAACCAGCTAATACAGGAGGTGAGCAACTGGATCTTGGGACGGGACCCCTCTAGACCAGCGCATTGGGCTGCTACAGCAACTACGACAGGAACCGATAGGCTCATTTCCGGTGGAACAGTGGCTGACAGCGAGGGACCATAATATACAAAACAATCCTCTGCCGAACCTTTAGGTAAGATAGCTAGCTAGCTCTTTAAAATTGGCTTCAGTTGCTGTTAGGAGTTGTTACCAGGTAGCTGGCTGGGTGCCGGCAACTTGAAATTGCATTGCAATCAGGCTGAACTCATTGAACCGAAGTGCCAACCCAACACTGCATACTAATACCGGTATGTCCCTCCTGCACATATCAAGTGCATAACATTAGCTCTGTTCCAAACTTCTGCACTCTGCATCACGTCCGCTGCTCTAGATAGCGGGCCTTGCTGTGCCCGAGAACTGCCTGTAGCTTCTGGAGTTGCAAGATTCCCTGTATCACGCACTTTCGGAGCTTCAGTTGATACCCTGGAGGTGTCATGGTCTTTGGCAACAACTGCTTCAAACGGTCAAGGAAGTTTTGTTCCTTTTACAGCTTTGCTGGTGTCTTCGCCTTGCCGTTTTTTCTTTTTCAATTTCCTCTCGCGCCGCGAATGTTCCAGGTGTCAAGGTGGAGCAGTGGTGGAACACGTCAATCGAATACCTATCGAATTACATCAATTGATTGTGACCAAAGCTCGCCTACGTGAGTGAACTGTGAGTGTCACATGCCGGCTCATGTCAGTTTGATTGGTTCAGAATTCAGAATTCTAGTGGACCAGTGGGCACCTTTTGCGGCTGTTCTTCAACGCCGTGTTTCCAGGACCGCATATTATCATATTATGTCAATTGTACAAGCATCTTGCTGTTGCCAGTTGCCAGCTACCGGTACTGCAAATGCCAATGCTGGAGAAAAGATTAGGCCCAGAAGCCTTTTCGCAGTCTGTGAAGAATGCATTCATATTTACCTTCTCGTTTTCCTTTGATTTCCCCAGAGTGCCAAGCTTAGAAAAAGGTCTCCTTCCATGACCACTAAAACTTGCATTCTCCCGCGAAAAGGAGGCATCAATGTGGAGTTCGGATGTCTGAAGTGCTGAGCCAGTGTCACAATCATCCCCCACACGCCAATGAGAATCAGTGCCCACAGTTGAAGGGCTTGACTCTGGCCCAAAGTATGTTTTTAAAAACGGCAAAGATCCTCTCTTTGGCCTCACTCTTTCTCAGTCTAACTTGAAGCCCTGTCTAAAAGCAACAGTGCAAGAGACACAGTCAGGCACAACCATTCCTTAGAATTGTAATCAACGATGAAGATCCCCTCCCCTCACTTCAATACCACTACTACTACTAGTAAGGATACCTTTGACGCGATCTCCACCGAGGGTAGACTTTGCTTGCCGATCCTTCCTGATTTGTTTGACATGAAAACCCAAGAAACGATGAAACAGGAGTCTTGTCTGTTGACACCATGCCTGTTGACACCATTGAATCGCTCCTCTCCGGGGTCGCCTCCTCCTTGGTGCCAGCCGTTGGCGTTAGCACCTCGGCGCCCTTCTGACGAGAGCACACCGTTAGAAGCTCCCGCCCTTGATGCCAAGTGCCAACCTAAGGAATCGTACATCTATAGGACACCAGCGACTCTTACATCGGTAATCACAGCTATTCGTGCCGCAAGAGTCCCTGCCCCTGCGATACCTTCGATACCAGATCTGCCGGTATCCTGCGATGACACAGAGCGCCCCTCTCTGCTTCGTCCACCGGCTGGCATCTGTCGGCCTTCGTTGAAGCCTCGGAGACTGGCTAAGAGATGCAGGAACAGGGTTAACCAAGAACATGTGATGATACATCGCGGATTGTTCCTCGGAGACACACACCAGCAGGCGAGTGCCAGCCATGGGCTCCCTAGAATTCCTGACAGCGCTTCCTTGGACAGGGGACTGACCAATCTTCTGAAGCCGCGACGCTCCAGGGCGAATCCATTCGAATAGCTAGTAGGCCCATGACCATCCGGTCATCCGGTCCCACGCCGCTACGCAACTATACCACTACATCACTACACACAGCTACATCACTATAGTTTTGATAGCGCATGCGAACTGTGCGCTGCTTTTGATCTTGCTACTTTCTACATTACTAATATGCGTGCTAATAATATAATATGTAAGAGTTAACCTTGCTTCCAGTTTCACCCTTCATGTTATTGGAGAGATTCCATGCTATCGTAGCCATCTACTAGCTAGTAGCAGTCGGTACAAAGCGCCGACAACCGTGCGATACCAAACTAATTGAAGGCAGCTTTTGCTAACGGCACCAGTAGCCAGCATATCAACGGGTACCCGGTAGCAGCTTGTGCGAATGACGTCAATGATACCGAATACCGGATACTATCACAGGTCTACATGCGCAATATTCATCAGACGAGGCGAAAACTTTTAATTAGTCTAATTAAAATTAAAAAGTAAAAAGTGAATCGAATCTGGCCTGGTCCTGAACCGGTGCCGCTAGCTCTGCTGGTTGAAAAACAAGCGGTCACGACGTCACGACGAAGAGCCTTGGATTAACAGCATTAGTACTAGCTAGTACTCGTACAGTAGACAGCCATCGATACTTTTACGGTACAGGTCCCTACAAGCGGCCGCATCACAGCTAAGAGGGAATGTGCTGTAGTCTGCTTGAGTTTCTGCGACTTGGACTTCTGGAAGAGTTGGGATCCTGCACTAATTTGGAAAGCTGTTAGACAAATGATGGAACAAAGCCTTGGTTTGGCAAGTTGTCTCCCACGATGACTTGTGAACCTGAAACAAGCAAGCAACTACAGGAAGCCAAACTCCGTAAGACGGTACCGGGTAGCAGCCAGAAAACTTTCTTGTTGGTCTGACCTTCTGGGTCTACTTGGACCCTCCCAACCAGTCAGAGCTCGAAGCACACCGCATCCACCCGATATCCCAGACTGAAGGAGAGAACTTGAAAGATTTTCTGCTGCTCTATGGACATCCCGAGTCACGACTCGAGCTCCTCTTTCAAGCAAAGACGAACTTGCCGCGGGAGTTGCAACAGTTTCTCAGAAGCTCACAAAACCATCAAAAGATCACAAAAACACCAACCAACGCAACAGATCAGAATGCAGCTCAAAGATCCTTCCTTCACAACGAGTACCACAAGTTCCCAAACGAACGAGACGCCATCGTCCTTTGGCTTCTTGCCCGGCATTGCAAACGAGGAGGACCCAGCCACAAACAACTCCTCCAATCCAAACAAAAGAACCCCCGGAACATCATCATCCCGGCCCAACAATGCCACGAGAGGTTCAAGCGAATGCTGCAGCACTCAGACAGTCGCTGTAACCGTTTGTGTCATTGTTGTTCTTGCTATTGTTGTCCTTGCGGCTGTTGCGAATAACAGCAGCGATGGTTCTGGCGGCAGAGGCGGTTTCTTCTTCCTCCGTGGTGGTAGTAGTGGAAGCAGGGGAGGTGGTGGTAGCTGCTTCCCTGCTGGTGAACGAGTGTTGCTCGACAACTTCTCGCAAGTTCCAATCGAGAGGCTACATCCCGGCTCCATCATTCATCGTGGAGGACAAATTTTGGCTGTAATGAAGCTAGCCGCAGATGGTGAAGACCCTTTGCATCGCTACAATGATTCTGTCTTCGTGACAGGATCGCACCTTGTTCAGGAGCTGGGGGGGTGGAAGCCAGTGGGAGAGTCGGATTTTGCCACACCCGTTGAGGATGAACAAGCCCCAACGTTCGTCTACAACTTGATCAGTTCTAAGCATACAATAATGATCAACAATACCCTGTTTGCCGACTGGGAGGAAGAGGAGGACTTTGCCGAGAACTGGGGTTTGGAAAGCCGGATCTTGGATCGCCTCAATGGACACCCAGACATGAATGCCCCAGCTCTTTCATCAACAGAAACTGTTTCCGAGGGGGCTTTTCAGCCCGGTACACCTATTCTCCTTGACACTGGAACTAGTGTTTCAATCGAGAAGTTGGAGCCAGGAGACCAGCTGCAAGGAGATGACAATATTGTCTTTTCTGTGATGCGACTCTGGATACCGAGTGAAACCATGGTGTATCACTACTCCATGGACTCGTCAGTAATCTCAGTGACTGAGTGGACCATTGTTTTGGATGATGACGGTCTCTGGCGCAACGTGAAGCATTCGTCTAATGCAGTGGCAGTTGGACTGGCTGCAGATGGTGCTCGTGCTTGGTATCAGCTTTGGACGACGAAGCATCAGATTCCCGTGGAAGGAGGCTCAGTTTTTGCTGACTACGAAGTGCTCGATGAAGATGATCCTGTTTTCTCTGAAGAGCTCTAGCTAGCTGACAGATTTTCATACTTGTGTTGTTCATTACATTGATCAAAAAGAAAGACAGAGGAATATCAGTGGTTGCGTTTCTTAATTAAAGAGCTTATATGTAAAGCAAATTTTGATTAAAAGCAAGCATCCGGTGAACAAGTAGACGCCGAATCCATGACAATGTGTCTTCCTGTCTGGGTTGATTTGACCTTGCAGTGTGTGATCTGGCCTTGCAGAGTGTTGCACCTCCTGGTTCTGGCTTTTGAGACAAGTTTGGTCACTTGAGACCACTCTTTAGTAGTTGGCTGGTCGATGGGCCAATGCCTGTATTGACATGTTGGGGCGGCGTTGATGTGTCAAGATCATCCGACCATCAACGCATTATTAAATTAAAACAAGCAGTTGATCAGGACTTTCCACCCCGCCGACATGACACCAAGGCTCCCTCGTATGCCAAAGCTCCACAGCGAAAAGTCATCACATTTTAGTGGTTCGTCCACATCTCGGCCAAGCTTGTCCAAGTTTTGTAGTATGGTAGCGAAAAAGGCGTAACTGTAGACATATGTGGCATCATCCGACATTATGGCAATCACCGTGTCCGTGTCGGGAATGACGACAATTTGCTGTCCTAGAGCACCTTGGCCGGCATATGCCCCAGTAAGTTGTGGGAGTGGCACGAACATGTCGTCTCGTACCGTGCGATCGACGTACCACTGATATCCATAACCAAGGAATAAGGGTTGAACTGATTCCGTATCATCGGCAAGTTGATCTGTTGTGGATGCTTGTATCCAATCTGAAGAAATTAGCTGGTCACCCTCGGCGGCCAATCCATTTTGCAGATAGAGTTGCCCTAATTTGGCCAGAGTGCGGGGTGTCGTGTTGAGTCCATAGGCAGACCCCTCGACACCACCAAATGTGCCCCATTGAATCCACAATTCAGGAATACCAAGTTTGTCAAAGATGAGGTTGTGTTGTGCGAATGGCAAGGGTGTTTTCCCCGATCTCCTGTATATGATTCTGGACAAGATATTGTTGCTTCCCAGATAGTTGAATTTTCCTCGTTGATTGGACTGATACTCCATATACTGTAACACTTGTTGGAGTGTTTCTTGATCTTGTATGGCTTCATCCGTAACACTCACAAGACCAGATGTCATGGTAAGGAGTTCTTCCAACGTGACAGTCTGCTTTTCCGTGGCCTGCGAGACTCCCTCCCAATCGCTGGTGTTGTTGAAGATATCTCCCAATGTTTCATTGATGTATACAAGTTGCAACTCCACCATTTTGCCAATGAGCATGGTGGCAAAGTTCTTGGTTGTTGAATAGGAGCGGAATAGGTCATTTTCGTCATGATCATAGCCATGTCCTTCGGCGACGATTCTTCCATCTTGTACTATCACCCATCCTTGAATAATTTTCGGATGCATGGAGGATTGAATGTTGCAGTATGCCTTGTTTCGGTTGTAGAGACGGTCTTTTTCCCATGGTTGGGACAAATCCACAATCCTTGTGGCAGTGGTGGTACAGTGCTGATGATGAAACACCAGAAGAAACGGGCACAGAAGCACCAAACGACATAATATGGAGCGGCGATGCATCATAGCATTGGCTGATGAGTATTTGGTAGATGGTACTCCTATCTTATCTCACAGCTTCGCCGCTCTCTCCGTCGCTAATCAATGAACCTCATGCTTGCTGATGAGCTCCCAATCAACCAGGGAGCAATGCAGCAATGGAGCTTGGAGCATCCCAACGGAATGTTACCGTTGGAAGGTTCAAATGGTGATGAAAATGTGACAGGAAAAAGGCTTTGTGAAAGAGATGACCACTCGGAAAGCGATGACCCGAAGAGGGATTGATGAATGTCCGCACATTTTGGGTTCTGATGTCACCAGTTCAATTGACCAGCTCTCAAAGCAACACACTCTCCTTCTAGAGCTAGCTAGCCACATCATAGTATTACTAGAACCGGTACCAACCATGACACTAGCAAGCAGCAGCACAGCGACGGCAACGGCAGTATCGCTTCGGAGCTATGATGATTGTTGCGACGTTGAGGACTTTCCCACGGTTCGCCTTTCTTCCGGAGCCGAAGAAGTGGCAATGGTGAACCACACTCTGAGTGATATTGATGATGAGGAAATAGCAATTTTTGTGGAGGAAATGGGAGCGGCACTAGCTGTGGCCGAACAGATCCCCGTATCGATGCGAGATGTCGACATTTTGAGTATGCGACGCATCCACAAATACGAAGAGGCTCGAGCGGAATTCATTTCCGCGCACTTTGTCAAGGCACATTCACCCAAGACGCTGGGCATTCAATTTGGAAACACCAGTAACGACAACAAGGGAACCACAATCGTCAAGATACACAAGCAGAGTCTTGCGGCACAGTCGCCTTTACAAGTAGGAGACACGTTGGTCAGTATCAATCGGCGCCAATGCAGTCCTGACATGACCCCTGCTCAAGTCGACAAACTGTTGCGAGAAGAATTTCGACTCAAAGACAACGTGACACTCGTCGCACACAATCCTGGTGGCGCCTGTGATGTCGTCGAGTCCATGTTTACCAAACCCAATCCGCACGATGTCGTTGGCATTGGACTTGAAAAAGATCCACACAGCAATAAACTCATCATTTCCATTGTCAATACGAGTAAAAGAGTCGATGCGACAACCAAGGCGGCGGCGTCACTCTTGAACATTGGCGACGAAGTCATTTCCATTAATGGATTCGCCACGGAACGAATCGAGTATGCCGAAGCACTCGAAATCATAAAGACGGCACCCAAAACTGTCACCGTCAAAGCCATTACACTTCGTGAAACGGGAATCGTCTTGGGAGAAATTCCAACGCAGCCAGACAGCACCGATGGTGTGATTGAAGATCCAAAACCAAGAAGAACTCGTCCAACAAAAACAAAAACAAAAACAAAAACAAACAAGGGCACGAGCAAGCCAATAGATTGCGAGATGATGTGCAAGACATTTGTCAGGGTGTGCAAGAAATGTGTCGGGGTTGTGCCCTAGCTACTGTTGGGAGGTATACTGGTTTTTGTTATTTACCGTACTACTTCACGGTAATCGCAGCCATGACAGTCTGTAAAAATTTAAACACATGGCTACATCTTTTCATTCGTTCGAACTTCGAACTTGATACGAATACATGTCATGTTGTCGACCAGTCTGATCTTGATCGAATGGAAAACTAGAGTTCATTTTGTACCTACACTAAATGCATCCATCCATCCAGCTAGCTAGTGCCAAAGTTGGCACAGGAGATGTGATGCAGTCACTAATAGCAAAACAAGGGTACGGCAGCTACAGTTGACTCGCTCTATTATTTATGGGGGGGGATTGCGGATTTCGATAAATATATTAGAGAGAATAAATATAAGGCTTTCAAGGGCCGGTTCCACTAGTAAAGTACGAATGGATAGAGCCGTCGCGTTTACGTTTGCCTGCCCTAGCAGCCTAGCCACATTCAATGCCCTAGCAAACCTGTCAAGATGCACAGTGGCTGCCTGGTTGATACCCAAAGCAGAGGCACTTCGGACAGCTTATTGAGTGCTTCTTCAGCTCCGCAAATGAGGCAAACACATCGGCTGGATCGGGATCATCCTCCATTTGTTCCGGTTCCTCGTCATCAATCACAGCCAGTTCCGCTTCTGTTGTTTCGACTTCCAGCGCTTCAATCTCTTCGTCGACGGTTGCACTAATGACTTCGGGCTCATCCTCGACATCGATCCAATTCTCCGCCATTTGCATCACATCGTCCCCAGAGTAGAGATCGTAATCAGCCGCAAAGGATCCTTGCAATGCAATTGCATGCCTTGCAACATCCACCTCAGTTTCTTTGGCTTTAACTTGGAGAGCACTCATGAGGTTGCACAAGTCATCGGAATCCTGCTTGCTCAACACCTTATCTTTCATAGGGATTGAAGCCGACCCAATGTCAACATTGATGTCTGTTTCCATGCGATGGGAAGGATGCCAGCTTTCTCCAGCATCGTCTGATACCATCTTCCTTTCTTCGCACGCAGATCCATGTAGGCAACCAGCTTCTTCTCAACCTCCGGATACTTTGGTGGGGCATAGCGCTTGGATGTGTCGGTTGGGACCAAAGTCTTGTTGTCGTATTGCTTCAGGTACTGACTGAAGCTCTGCCGTTCCGACTGTGTCCCAGAGAACTTCGGCCCAGAAGCGGACGATTGCAGGAAGGCTTTGGCTTGCATGTTCTTGAACTGTGTACGGAAGGAGTGGCATGCCTGAGCCCAGTCGCCTCTGTTCTTTTTCCCAGTAGCATTCGTTGAACCTGCTTTTGGTCCCCTCTTTCCGCCTTTCTTCGTTCCTTTCTTTGTTACGGTTGAATCGGCGCCGTTCATGTTGTTGAATCGGCGCCGTTGGTTGAATCGGCGCCGTTCATGTTGGTCTATGTCAGATTGGAGGGTTTTGGTATGGTTTGGGTGAAATTGTTTGGCAGCTCAGGAGAATTGTTTTTGTCTCCTCGAAACCATCCTTCGAAAACTGCACGTAAACAACCAGCGCTTGGGCTGGCCCAGACAAGACAGCCACGGGCAGAGGTGCGAGGAATCCCACCTCCATTGGATCGATATTGGCATTTTACATGCTGTCTCGGTCAAATTGAAACGGTTGGAATGGATTGGACGACGTTGTCGACGTTGTCGACGTTGTCGGGCTGCTCGAAAGATTTGTTGCTGCTCGAAAGATTCATTCACGGATACCCGGGACTGAGGGGGGGACCTCGAGATTTAATAAATATTACAGCGAGGATAAATATAATATTATAAATATTAGCGCGAGTAGACTGTACCGGTACATAAAGAGGAAAATGCAGTTGTAATTTAGTTTGCCAGCCACTGATGTTGGCTATCCAACGCTGAATGAATGATGAGAAGCACGCATAATATGACAACCTCTCGAGCTCTAGAGACGGCAGCAGTTGAAGGCTTATTCATCTTCTCCAATGGACACGGCAGTGTACTGTCCATAGGGCGTTGTTTTGGTTGCTTCTGCTGCTGATGTTGCGGTATTGTTAGTGTTTGCAGCAACATCTTCGCCGTCCTCATCAAAATCGTCATCGTCTCGCAACAGTTGGTAACTATCGGGTGATGGTTCTTCCATGCCCATGAGCTTTTTCCCATTGATCAATAGCATATATAGCCCAAACATCAGTACCGGAATTGTCATTTGGATCCAGATCAACATATCATATGCCACAGTGACTCCGGGAGTGATCCGACAAAATGACGAGTGGTGTGAGTGATGCTGGTTGTTGTTGTTGTCGTTGTTGTCTGGCTTTGATGAAAACAACAGGCGGAACAAGTGCACAATCGGGGCCCTTTGGGTGCTCTCCACAAAGTCATGGAAACTGGACAAGTAAATGGTGCCAAAGAAAAAGTAGAGACCCAAGAGCGCCAGTAGACATGTTCGCACGTGATGAAAAATGTAAAATTGGAGATTCTGTTTCATTTGCAGTTGAAAGGGGGCGTGGATGGGCCGTGTCAGGTCACCTTCTAACAAGACCACGTCGTGGAGAATATCTCCTGGCTGGGGGTCCATGTCGTTAGGGACCAGCAGACAGGGGACATGGGCCCATGCCCGAATATCTTGCAGGAATTCTTCCCTCGCTTGTTCCACAGTTGTCGGTCTCGTCTCCTTTTGATTCTGCTGTGGTTGTTGTTGTTGTGTTTCCCCAGATGTCACTGGCACTGGAATGGTGTTTGCTTCTTCTCCAAAGGCCTCCACATCATTGCCGTTGTCATCTAACAATTGCACCCAACAGAAAATCTTGTGATTATTGGCAGGATGCGGGCTCGGGGGAATCTTTCGAACCTTGAGGATCTTGGCTCTTTGATTCGTCAAGCCAGTTTGTAACCTCTTGGTGATCGTATGCACCGTGTGCCCGTACAGCACCGAGAAGAAAGCTCCCCATAACAGCGCACTCTGCAGGAGCAATCGGAGCAGCAGCGGAGAGCAATCTACCAGTATAAGGACATAGGGCACGACAAAGAGGGATAGCACTGAAACAGTGCAGAGAAAGCGGCAACAGCTCATGGTCTTCTACTTTTGGTGAATTTTGCTTTTCGTTTTTTGTGTTCGAGCTGCTGTTGTACAGTACATACTAGCTAGCTAGCTAGCTAGCTAGTACAGTACCGATAGTGCATGTCTTTGGGGTCGAACGACGAATTCGCAGTCATCTTTTGGAACAACGCTGACGAAACGTATTGATCTGCTCTCCTTTTCACCGGGGTGAGCCTGTTTGTGGAGCCTTACTTTCCCTTTACAGATGGATTATAGGATTCACTTGCTAGTTATTTGAATTTCTTTCTATTCATAGCAAGACAAGAATAAAGCATACAAGTACGGTAGATCCCCAGACCATGAACTAAGGCAGAGTTTCGGGCTGTTTGCTCCAGGAACCCAGCTTGCTTCATTCAACTGGAGGATACATGGTGTGGTCATGTTTGCAGACACCTTCCAACCCTCCCCACTACGGAAAGCTGTCTTGGCTGCCATTAGTTAACCATCATCCCCAGTTTTGCCCACCACAGGAAGGTGAAATCTATTCTGATGGTGGTTTTAGTGATGTGTCGCCGCCAACCAGATGCAATCTCTCATGAATAAAAGCTAAACTAAGGTTTACATGTATATATAGTATCTTCTAAAGTCGGTCCACCAGGGGTTCGTACCCGTCGGGCCGAGATGGGGTCCGCAAGCCCATGCAGCTGCGTGATGCCAGGGTTGAGTTGATGCTAAAGTAGCTGTGCATACACCCGTCAAGTTGAGAGCAGCAATGCGTCAAGTGCGTTCTCGTATTGTTCAGGCAAGTGATCAGTCAACATGTCCACAGACAGAAAAATGTTGCCTTGTGCCACCTTTTGGGGATCGCAGCAAAAAGCTTCAAATCTGCCCAAGATGTTTTGTTTGCACCAAACAACATTACGGGCTGGGATGCACATGTTGTATTCGCCGTCGACAGCTCCTCTCTCGGCAACATTCAAAACGCTGTTGGTAATCTCGCTGGGGACCTTGTCGTAGTCATTGAAGATTCTCCATCGTTTCCAAAACCAGATGGATTCTGTATGACAGTCGACCGAGTCCAGCAGATTGATCATTCTCCGCACAGCCGAGACGGACAGGAATGGCACTACGTCATTGTCATGAATGAATGCCACTGTATTTTGCATTGCCTTTTCAATCTGTTTAGCGCATGCACTGTTGCTCTTGTCCAGTACACTCTTTTGGTGATTGTCCCAAAAGAACGTTGGCGGAGGTGCAAAGGCGAAGCATTCGACAGTTCTATTTGGGAACACCTCTTCGACGTACAGCAGTAGCGTCAACAAGCACGCCGTGCCGGCACCCAAGGAATGTCCCGTTACAACCAGCTTGTAATCCTCGTGGGTCGTCATCAAGGCTGCTATCTTGAATCCAGAATCGTTCCAGAGATTCCTAGCCATCTCTGACATTCCCTTGTGAGCCTTTCCGGAACAGTAGTCCGTAGCCATTCCTTGGATATCCACAATGGCTCCCGAGAGACTGAGTGTCCCTCGAATTGCCAGCACGATGGATTGATGCTTGTGATCAATGGCTACAAAATGGTGCAACACATGTTTGTCGTAGTCGGTGTCATTTCCTGCATAAAGGAATTTGACATCTCCAGTGGGAATTTGGGTATGGATGGAAATGGCTTGAAGTGGATTCTCTTGAATTTCAATCAACTGATGTGCATCCACTTGAATGTCCAAGGCGGATCGGATCATATCAGTTCCATAAGCTGAGGTAGCAAAGCGCATGAGACGATGGCCTCGTTGAATATCTTTGTGCATGGCCACTGTCATGGTGGCATAATCATCTTCTTTTTGAGCCTTCAGTACTCGGTCATGATTGTCATTGTCACTTTTTTGAATATCACTGAGTATTTTGACATTATCCAAGAGTCTTCCTTGCAAGAGAGGCTTTTGAATGGCTTCTTCCAATTCTGCCCCAACCCCAGTTTGTTCTAGAAAGGTATTGAATTGTCGCAGGGCTGTCATCCAGCCTGTAAGTTTTCTGGGGTTGGTAACGATACCAGCAATATCACCAATGGCAGAACAGATAAAAGAGACAACACCTTGAAAGGCAGATTGGATGTCTGTGGGTGGATGAATGGCTACCACAGTGGGTTGTAGGATGACGTTTCTTGTAGCATTTCTTGCGAGTTGTTCATTGAACACCCCGCCTTTGTTCATGACTGGGGTGTGATGCACGTATAGTGTCCGCAGCACCGGAATGGTAAGGTAATCCAACAAGATTGTCGTCAAGATCTTGTCAATTCTTGCTGGCAAGAAGAGGGGAACCAACCTTGAGAGAATGTTAAAGATTGGATCCAGCAGGAATATTCGAAGAGGAAGCAATACCGGCTTCAGAATCATGGGAGGGTCTCCTCTCCAGATAATCCGACGAGCTTGAGTCAATGATTTGCCCATGGGAGAGACATTCTTGCCAGGAGGACGATTCGGAAGCTTAACTTGCAGAGCGGAAGACTCGGGTTGCTGGCAACAGGTAGAATCCATTCTGTTCTCATTGTCCTTCGCCCTGTCTTCCCCACCACCTACAACGTCGTTTGTGGCTGCACCAGCTTCCATACCGGTAGTGCTATTCAACAGATCAAGATTCTATTACTGACTGACTGGACCTCTTCTTACTTCTTGATCCGAGGTGTCAAAAAGAAAAAATGAGATCCCGATCTTACAGTACCAACCAGGTCGCCAGGTCCTCATCAGATTCTTCAGTCCGGAAGGAAGTGGATCTTCTCTGTTCCTGGGTGACTTCTACGGGAACCCTAACCCTCCCTCTGGTACAGCAGCCCTGTGGGGCTCCCCCCTGGGTTTCCGGCAAACATTCCCAAACATGCCTCCTCTAACTGCCAGTACTAATAGGGACTGGCCTGAGCAGCTCAAATCAGTCCCTAGTTACCGGTTGGCTCCTTTGCCGCCATGCCTGGCTCTGAGAGCATGGTGCCCCCCCCTGACAGTAACAAATAAGTGCACCGGAGCATTCAAAAATGAACCACCAGGCCTGTTGTTGCTGCCATGGTGGCATGGTAGTGCTGCTGCCATCATAGTGTCTTTATTGAGATAATTAACC